GGAGTCTTGACAGCCTGTGAGTCCTGAAACCACGGATCCCTTGTTTTTGCCCCTGAATCTAGGTAGACAGGCAGTGTTGGTCTACAGGGAGATGGGTGGGGAGCAAGGATGGTTCTGTGGGATCTCTCCCTGCCACTGCACCTGGCAGAGCTGTGCCTGTGGCCCACTCCCTAGGCTGTAGGACAAGAGCTGGGGCATTTAGAGCACACCTCGGGATCCCATATAAATACCTCCCACAGACCACCCCCATCCTGGCCAAAATGGGAAGCCGGCCAGTGTGGCTCCTTTTTGCTCAATGCTGTAAGCTCTTGGGTGTGGACGGCTTTGGGAGGCCATCTCATTGATGACGGCATGAGGGGAGAGTGCAAAGCTGCTACAAATCCAAAATGTGCTGCCCCTCTGGGCTGGGGGGGGGGGTTCTTAGGCCGCCAGTGAGCCAGCTCTTCATGCCTCTTACCAGTGTATGTGAGGTGTAGGTGAGGGGCCAGGGAGGGGATACAGAGCACCCCATCAGACTGAAGAAACCCACACAGAACAGGAGAGGAAGGATTAACTCATTCCACTAACCTTTATCATACACCTGCTTGCTGAGCAGGATGCTGGGGACCCCTGGGCGAGGCCTTACCCTGCCTCCAGGAGGCTGACTGTACAGTGATGAAGGCTCCCCTGGAGTGTAAGTGACAGGGACTAGCCTTCACCTTGGGTTAGCAAAACCCCTTCAATGGTGTGGGCCTATTTCCCTAGGTCTCTGTCTCCCTCTCCTTCCCACCGTGTCTGCCTTGGTTCCTGTCTTCTGGAATCCTTGGATTTCAGGGTAGGAAGGCCCTAGGAATCATCTGGCTACACCCCCTCCTTTTATACCTAAGAAAGCTGGGGGCCAGGGAGATATAGCCACTTGCCCAAGGTCACACAATTATTTTGGTGTCCTGGTTTATCTCAGTGTTTCACTTCTTTCTCTCATATTTGTCTTTCTTGTGTGTGTTTGCAAAACTGACACAGAAAGGCAAAGTCACACAAAGAGACAGACGGCCCCCTTGCTAGTAGCAGAGGGTGTCCAGGCACAGAAACATTCTCTCACAAAGAGGGAGGGACCCCTCGCTGCTTTGGCCTGGGAGGGGTAGTGGGGGGAGCCAGGAGGAGGAAGAGGACTATGCCCTGATGTCCTGTCTGCTGGCTGGAGGTAGCCCCTCACCAGAGGTGGGAGGGTTAAGGTGCACACTCTCTTCCATCCATCTCTGGGGACCAGGCCTGGCCCCAAGGTCTAGCTGGGGTTCCCTGGGACCTGGGATTTCGGCCAGGCAGATGGACTGGGTCAGAGCTGCCTCTGGACCCCTGGCCTGCCCCGGGGTTTGGTGACCAAAGGAGAAGTTGGGGGCTGCACTTAGCGATGGGCTTTAAGGAAGAAATCAGAGGTCCTCAGCCTGAGAGCTCCAGGTGGTCTCACCGGCTCTGCCTCTCTTGTCTCTCTGTCTCTCTCACAAACACACACGCGCTGACGCCCCAGTCGATGAGGGTGATTTCATTTCGCTAAGGAAAGCTTTACTGCCCGGGCTAGACGGAAAGGGGGGCAGCGGAAAGAGGTCTCTCCCCTGAGTCTGGCTTCCTTTGTTCCTCCCTCGCGTCCTCCCTCTCCCCTTCCCGGCTTCCCTCCTCTCCTCCTGGCCTCCTTCTTCCATGCTCTCTACCCCCCTCCCCTCCCCCCTTCCCCCCATCCCCAGAGCTGGGTCCCCGCAACAGGACCTCGCTGAAGGTGGGGAGGGGGGAAGGCGGGCTCGGGCCTCAGCCTCCATGGCCGTCTTCCCGCAGGGAAGGAGTTAAGTCTCTCCGCTGCATCCCTCCTCCCTCCTCCGCCTCCCCCGCCGCCACCGAGTCCTGCAGCTAGGCCCTGGGCTGACCTTCACCGGGAGGGAGGCCGCAGTGCGCATGCCCGGGCCGGCTCCCGTCCGGCTCCAGCCGCTGCCCGGGCCCCCGGCGGGCGAGGGCGAGGAAGGGCGGCCGCGGCCCGGGACGTGCCCCCCGCGCCCGGCCGCCCTCAGCTCCCGCGCGGCGGTGGCGGGGGGTGGGGGGGCCGCCGAGCCCGTCCCGCCGGCCGCGGCGCATCTCTCCCTGAGCGGGGAGAGGCGCTTTGCCATTTGGTGCTGGTGGTGCTTCGGAGGGAAGGAGCGATGGGGGGACGGCAGGGGGGACTCCGGCTCCGAGCCGCAGGGCGGCCGCCCTCTGCCCGGACTCGCGCCGTCTGCCCGGAGCACGGCCTGGGCCGGCCGGCCGCTAAAACCAAGAGCCCAGTTGGGCTGGGAGGAAGGCCCCCCGGCGGCTGGAAACGGGGCTCTCCCTGGGCCTCCACCCTGCCCTGGGCCGGAACCTGTGGCGGTGGCACTGCCCAGCCACCCGCTCTTCTGGGGCTGAGCCTTTGGGGATGCTGGCCTTTGTGAGGTGGGAGTCCTGGCCCGGTGCACCCACACCTGCGCCTCTGCTTTCTGGTCTGAGGGCTCCCCCGGGGTCTGCACATCCAGGGTTGCCCCTGTAAAAGCAGCACGCAGATGTGCCTACTGGCTGGCGCCTCGTCAGTTGCACCTTGTGAGTGTGATATGGAGATGGTGGAGAGGTGCCTGTGTGTGCAAATCCTGGTGGCTCCTTGTCCCTCTGGAGTCTGCATCCCTGTGTGCCTGAGGGGCATGAATGCATTATATATCTGTTGTCTCTGCTGGCAGAGGGATGTCTCCCAGAGAAGGGGCTGGGGAATGTCGGGGGAGACCCTGATGCTGGGGTGGCCCAGGAGGGAGTTAGCTATGGTCTTGAGTGATGCTCACCAGCTCCTTGGGTATCACCAGAGCCTTTGGTCTAACTACCTCCTGCCATCTCCTCCACCACCAAGCCCCGTCCCCTCCCAAATGCTGGGTATCCCCGCTTTCCTTCGTGATCCTCCCTCAAACTTAGCTGCCCAAGCTGGGGTGCCCATCCACCTCCTTTGCTGTCTTCTTTACCCCAAAGACCTCTTGGAGAGTTGAGAGCTCTGAGCTTTACACAAGGCCTAAAAATGTCTGCCCCAGCCCGAGTCTCCCCAGAGCCTCTAAGGTCTGTGGTTTCATGGGTCCATGCTAGAAGCACCCACAGTGTGTAGGGGTGCCCATGGCGACTTACACCTTCAGGTAAGTGGCAGAGTATGAGCTCCATCCACTGGCCTACTGAGCTTTTCGGGTGGTTGCAAGTGTGAGCAGGCATTTATTTGATCATAAGTTCCCGTGTCCCAGCGTGGGGTGGAGTGGGGAGGAGAGTGGTACTTAAAGACCAGTCCCTGATGTCAGGGGGGCCACATTTGGAAAACCAAACCTAACATCTCAGACACTGGTCAGGCAAGTGCCAATTTGTGGCATAGCATAGATGGCAGTGGGTATTCAAAGAAGAGAAAGGTTGGTGCATAGGAGTGGAACTGGAGCAGGCTTCCTGGAGGAGGTGGGGCCCACATTAGGCTTTAAAAGACAGGCAGATGAGCAGTAGGATTCCAGGCAAAAGAATCATGGGAGCAGAGGCTTAGACATGGGGATAAGTGAAGGGTTTTGGAAGTTAGTGGGCAGACTGGAGAGATTACCTCCGCAGTCACCAGTAGCCACCTTGCTGGCCTATGGCAACTACCCAGCCATTCCCACCTTGCCAGGACCCAGTTTCTGCATGGTTGAGTCTAGGGGAAGCTGGGTAGAGATTTGGTAGGAAGAGGACCTCTGGGTTCCTGGCTAAGCCCGCAGAAAAGGAGGGTTGTCATGGGCCACTCTGGCCTTTCAGAGGGTTGACAGTGGGCACCCAACTGACCGTGACAGCCAGGAGCACAAGTAGAGCCCAAGGAAACCAGGCTGCAGGCAAAAGCACTCTCTAGGCAGAACACTCCCTGGATTTTGTCTGGCCTCTGAGGGCATTCTGAAGGGTTTGAGGGTCAGGACACCCCCCCCCCCCGCCCCTCAGTGTAATTCTGGGTCTTTAGGGTATAACTTCAAATAACTTTTCCAACAAATTCCCCCAGGCATTGCCCCACCTCACCTGGATTCCGACAGGGCAGCCCCAGGAAGCACACAAACTTGACCCACTGTGGTCCCAAAGCCTTGGGGCTCTTCCTCCAGAAGGAGGAGAGAGGGGTGTGGCCATTGGGGGCCTGGGTGGTGCTGTGGTTCCCAGGCTGGGGATCTCAGGATTTGTCCCTCCTTCACCCCAGGGACTGCCAGCTCTCTGAACACTGCCTCTTCTGGGGCTCCCTCACCCAATCCCACACTTACCCCTGCTTTCTCTGGGGGTCTTGAGGCCGGCCCTCCCATATACCCAGCAGCCCCATCACCTCTGGGTCCCCCCACCCCCCACCTCATGCCCCATTCCAAAGCCCGGAGGCCCTGCCTGCCCCATTCTCTCCATCCATCCACCCAAGCACCCACCCCAGCTCCTCGCCTTCCCTCACATTCGCTGCTCTTCCTGTTCTCATGAGTCCGATCCACCTCCCCTTTCCGAAATACTTCCCCTCTTGCCCTCACTTTCTCACATAGAGACAAACAAAGACTCACATACCCAGAAATAGACTCACACGGAGCTGGAAGACACAGGCCGTGTCCTGCCACACACGCACCCGCAAGCGCGCGCACGCACCCGAGGCTCTCGTGGAGGGAGGCACACAGAGAAGGCATTTGTCTGTGCACGCACATAAACATCCACACCCACAGCCACCGAGCCATGCCCACACCAGGGTGCAGACACACACGGCGGGCGAGACAAGGGCGCACACATCTGTGGACGCGAGGGGACAGCGCCTCCCCGGGCACACCCACCGCTGTCGGCCTGGTGCAGGAGGAAGGCCTCCCCCCAACCCCCAACCCCCCCCCCCCCCCCCCCCGGATTCCTTCCTTCCAGAGAATGTTTCCCTACTTGGCCTGCCAGGTCTCTGGGGAAAGGGCCTCAGAAATGCAGCAGGAGCCCACTTGGGGGACAGTTGGAACTGCCTGTTCCCTGCCTGGCCCTGCCGGCGAATTCCCTAACCGAGAAACTATTTGTGGCGAGAGCCCGGGTGGCCGACGAGCCCCCCGCCGCCTCCCCTCGCGTCCCCTCCCCGCGCCGCCTCCCCGCGGCCCTCGGGCGGCCTCGGGCTGCAGTGCCGCTGCCCAGCGCCCCGGAGCCGGGCTCGCCGGCGTGCCTCGCCGCTTATCTGCGCTGTTTGGACAGCGAGGGCTGCAAAGGCAGGCGTTTCGGGCCCCGCCGAGTCAACAGGCAGACCCCGGGCCGCCGGACTATTTCTGTCTTATCAGTACAGGAATGCGGCAGCCGCGGCGGCGGCGGCGGCGGCGGCGGGCGGGCGGCGGCGGCGTGGGCCGTGGGCCGTCAGGGCAGCCCTGAAGGGGCCCCCTCCCCACTCCGCTCGAGTAGAAGTGTGAGAGAGCCCAGCAGGACTCAGAGGGGAGAGTTGGAGGAAAAAAAAAGGCAGAAAAGGGAAAGAAAGAGGAAGAGAGAGAGAGAGTGAGAGGAGCCGCTGAGCCCACCCCGATGGCCGCGGACGAAGTTGCCGGAGGGGCGCGCAAAGCCACGAAAAGCAAACTTTTTGAGTTTCTGGTCCATGGGGTGGTGAGTGGGGGAAAGTTAGCGGGGGAGGGTGAGCGAGCTGGCTCGGGCTGAATGGAGGGATGATCGGGAGGGGCCGGGAGGGGGCTCCCGCTCTCCCACCCCTCCGGCAGGGGCGCCGCGGCCCGCGGCCCAGCCCCAGCACCGTGCCGGCGCCCTGGCACTCGAACACGTCGTCAGGCGGCGGGCCGGGGATGGGTGCCCCGGGCGGGGACGGGAAGCGTTTGCATGGGTTCTTGTCAGGGGCTGGGGGTGGGACTTGGGGACTGCCCCCCCAAGTGTGGGGGGTTCCCCTCTGTACTAGACGTGTTGTCTTCTATTCTTTTCCTCGTGGGCCCAGGTGTTCCCCTACGCTGGGGGTGGGGGCAGGGGACACGGCAGCGGGTGGGCTGGGTTGTCTGCTCATCCATTGGGACAGTGTCTCTCTGATTGTGTCTCTCTGAGCAAGAGGAAGGAGCAGGTGACCCTGGAGGCACTGTGAGCGGGAAGCTCTCTGCCCCAACAACCTCTGCATCCTGGCAGGAGGGCTCTGGGGCTTTGCTGATGGCTTCTGCCATCCGGGTCAGAGAAAGACCCTCTCCAGGGACAGACCCCAAGTGAAGGGGTCTGAAGATCCCCTTGGCAGACTCAGCCACCAGAAGCCGATGTCTTTAAATCCTCAAAGGTGTGAAGGAAGGGCTGGAGTCAGGGATGTAAGGCCTAGAGTTCAAAGGGGCAGGGCGGCACCTTCCTGCCAGGAGCGGACTTGGAAGGCACACAGGGAGCCCAAGAGAGCCCAAGGGAGCCCAGGGTGACCTGAGGGGATGGGACCTCAGGCTGAGGCAGCAGGAGCCAGGCTGGTAGAGATGTGGAAGGCAGCGGAATGGGAGAGGCAGAGACTGTTGGGCTTGGAATGGCCACTGGGGTTGGAGCTGGGTGCAGAGGAGGCAGTCAAGTTGACTATGGCCAAATTTGGTTGTGACCCCAAAGAAGGCACGTTCTCAGTGAGGGAAACCAAAGTCCCTAGAATCTTGGCCCTTCTTTGGGGTAGTCCCCTTGGTTGGCACAGCTCTCTGGGGGCTCTGGAAGCTTCTCTCTTGGGGCCTTTTCAGCAGATCAGCAAGTTATCATTGGCCTTGAGAAATGGGAGAGCAGCTGATTGGGTAAAGGGGCTTCCCTGGGGCAGCCTGTTCTCCTGTCCCAGAGATCTCTGAGGCAACTTCCCAGGGGGGACCATGTCAGTCAGCCAAGTTGCCGGTCCTAACCATGCTGCTGGTGAAGTCCCTTTAAAAAGGCCCATCTAGGAGAGAGAGGGGGCTATATGTGTGGGGGTTTTTTGGTGGTGTTTGGGTTTTGTTTTTTTTGTTGTTGGTGGGTTTTGTTTTGTTTTGTTTTTTGTGGATTTCTTTTTTCCAACTTACAGCTTCAGTTCTTGGGTGGCTGTGAGTCCCACCACTCCACTCCCAGTACCCCATCTGTGCTGGTGGGCCTGGGCCTAGGCTCCATTCTGGGCCACCACTCTGGAGATATGAGTGATAGGGTCAGGTGCGGTGGGGGAGGCAGACACATGGATGGGCAGTTTTCACTGTGGGAGAGATAGACAGAGACAGCTGGCTGGCTGGGAGTTAGGGTTAGACACAGTGCAGGGCCAGAGGGACAGGAGGGAGAGTTGGCATTTAGAAGGAATTCACCGGGCTCAGGCTCAGGGCTCCTCCATGTGCCTGAGGGCAAAGCAGGTAGTGTTTAAAAGGTGGCAGGGCACAGGGGCTGCATCCCTTGTTCCCTAATCTTCCTGCTCTCTTTCTCCCCATCACACCCACCCTCCACTTTTCAGCCCCTTGGGCCTTCCCGGATTCCTCTTCTGGAATCTGGACAAGTGGGGTTTTCAAAGTCTGTGAAACACTTAGTGAATTTGCATTTCATCTCCATCCCATCTGAGGTGGCAAGGGAATACACCTGCCTCATCTTGCTCTCCATGTCCCCCTCAGAGCCCTGGCTTCCTACCTCCCTGGGGTGGGGTGGGAAGTGGAAGAGTTCTATAGGATGGAACCATCTCTGGCAATGCAGGCGGACAGGAAGGGAGAGATGGATGGAAGAGGAAATGCCACTCACTCGCTCACTCACTCGCAGCCTTTGAGCTCTGCAAGCCCTCTGGGCAGCCCCCTCCAGCCCAGCTGCCTCCCATCCTGTCAGGGACTCCTGGTGGGGTGTGACCTCACTGGCTCCTGTGGCCTCCAGCCTTCACCTTGGGAGTAAATTATGGGGGGGGGGTGTGCCCCTGGGTGTGGTGGCTTGGAATCAGCTGAGGGGGTTGTGGGTTGAGACTGAAGGGTGGAAAGCAGGGGCCCAGAGAGAAGGGTGGGTTTAGTGGGGAGGGCAAGTGCCCAGCAGGACGGCCCAGGAAGTGGACGGAGAGGTGAGGAGTGGAAAGAGGGACAGAAGTCCTGTAGCAGAGAGCAGGGCCTCTAAGCCAGATGAAGATGCAGAGATCAGAGAGCCCCCACACCGGGGAACCGGCAGTTCCATGCCACCTTGGCCAGGAGGAGCGGGGTGACCTTGGCTAGGTCGCTTTTCTCCTTGAGCTGCGGTTCCCTCATCTGTCAAGTGGGGTTGGAAGGACCCCCTCCGTCCGGTCCGTCTTGCAGAGGAGAATGTGGTTGTGAACATCCTTTGAAAAGGTTGAAAGGCGCCATTAATATTCATTTTCGCGGTACCTTCCGCAAATCCGAGGCTGGCAGTGCCCAGTGCAGTTGCCTGGCTTCAGTTAGCTTCCTGCGGCGAGACGCAGAGCCCCTCCGCCCAGCCGCGCGGTGGCGGCGCCCCTGCCCCTCCCACCCCTCGCTCACGCGGGCGGCATCAGGGTCACCGGCCGGGGGGCGGGGGGGGGGGCGCGGGGTGGGAGACACGCGGCTCTGCGCGCCGGGAACCGGGGCCCTGAGCTGACCGGCGGGCGCCTGTTTCTGCCTCACCTCCGCCCCTCGCCCCCCCTCCCCGCCCCCCAGCGCCCCGGGATGCCGTCTGGAGCCCGGATGCCCCACCAGGGGGCGCCCATGGGCCCCCCGGGCTCCCCGTACATGGGCAGCCCCGCCGTGCGACCCGGCCTGGCCCCCGCGGGCATGGAGCCCGCCCGCAAGCGAGCAGCGCCCCCGCCCGGCCAGAGCCAGGCCCAGAGCCAGGGCCAGCCGGTGCCCACCGCCCCCGCGCGGAGCCGCAGGTGAGTGGGGCCCAGCGCGGAGGGGGCGGGCCACGCGACCCCAGGGACGGAGTGGCTGAGCAGCGAGCCTAGAAGGAGCAGGGAGGGAGGATCGGCCGGGAACGAGCCGTCCTGGGTGGGATGCCCTCTGGGGAGGTGGGCCGAGGGGGCACTGGTCCGGTTCCTTTGTGTGCCCACCGTAGAGACTGAGGCTGCGGCCGTCGCGCCCTTCTCCTTGTCACCTGCTCGCTCCTTCTCTCCACCCCTCGTCCCCAGGTTCTGGGAGATGCTTCCGTCTTTGGGGTGGGGGTGGGGGTGGGGCTGGCAGGAGGGCCGAGGGCTGAGCTTCAGGGATTGTGTTTCTCAAAGTGTGGCTGTCCAGTGCACTGTCCCCAGTCCCCTGGCTTGACTGTTTTAAAAGCCCCACTTGAGATATTCTAAATCTGACTCTCTGGCCAGGGGGGTGGAGTCTGGGGATGTGCCCTGTGGGTGGGTGGTCTCCATAACGGTCCTGCTCTCAGGTAGTTCTTAGGCACTTAGAGGTTAAAGAGCTGCCCTAATCTGTCTTCTGGACCAAGTCTGCCCCCAGGAGCCACCAGGGGCCAGCCCATTTCCCTGTCTGAGCCAGCTGGTGGCACCCCAAAAGCCCCTGCTGGTGTCTGGCAAGAGAGATGCCCCTCTGGGTTTCACTATTTAACCAAACACACATGCTTCCCTTTGCACACCAGATGGAGTCCTATAAAAGGAGTAATATGGATTTTACCTCATTATTAAATATTTTTTACACATCAAGGAAAATTCACCATTTATAGGAATCCCATGATGAATTCTTTTGCAAAGTGAATCATCTTTTTATACAGTAAACAAGTTCCTGATTTGTCTTGTATAGATGGAGAGTTTCACACAGATAATTTCTTCAAAACAAATCAGACCTTTCAGGAAAGATGCTTACCTAGCCTTAGAATAGGCTTTTGGACAGGAGGGGGCAGTGGTTACCACCACACTGGGATGGTACAGAGCCATGCCCCAGGCTGGGTGCTAATCTCAACTGGCCAAGGATTTTCTGGGGTGCTTTTGGGAATCAGAAGCAGCTAGTAGATCAAGAAGAGTTCAAGTCCCAGCTGCCACCCCAAGTCCAGTCTGCAGTCACACCCTGCAGGACATCCCTCTCTCTGGATCCCTACTGGTGTGTTTCTGGACCCTGTTGGCAGGTGATCCCATAGCCTGTCAGCATTCTCTTCCAAGCCCAGGTTGCCAGGGGTGCAAGTCCTCACCAGCTTCACCCATCACCTCCTGCTCCAGGGATGGGACAGGTTGTTGGCTCTGCTTCCCGCTGAGCTCAGGCCACCTCAGGCTGTACACCCCTGCTTAACAGAAAGGGAAAGTCCTCAGAATTCCTCCTCCCTCCCCTCTGTCCTCCCTCTCCCTAGCTTTTCTCAAACACTTTTGCAGCTCCCCCACCCCCCCTCACCCCTTCTAAGTCTAAATTTCTCTGGCCTGGGGGGTGTGGTGGGGTAGAAAGGGGCTCCCAGACTAAATAAAGGATGGGGCCACATCTGCTCCCCACAAGAGGACATAGCGCCATGCCAGACACCGCTGCCGTTGCCCCTTGGGCGGGCAGACAAGCGGGCTGTGGGAACCCCAGCCAGGCGGGTGGAGATGTCGGGATAATTTAGCAGGTGGCCTCGTTACTCCCAGATCTGTCGCCATGGTAACCTGGTTTTTTCTTTAAAAAATGTACAGTGCCAAGAGGAGGAAGATGGCTGACAAAATCCTCCCTCAAAGGGTGAGTGCCTTTCACAGCAGCCCCCAGCCCACCCCCCACCCTTTGCTGCTCTGCCTCCTCCCCCTCTACCCCACCACCCTGGGCTGCTTCCCCTCCCCCCTCAGTAGCAGAGCTTCAGTGTCACAGCCACTTTCACTTTTTGTTTAAAAAGCTAATTAAGAAGTGGGGCTCCCTGGCCAGAGGGAGGGAGTAGGGCAGAGGGAAGGAGCGAAGGAGCCGTAAGAGGTAGGGTCTTGCGCCCGCCCGGGTGCAGTGGACTGAGCTCCAGGGGACCCAAGACTGGCAGGGGAACTGAAGCCGGCCAGAAGGCCCGGATGTCATAAGTGAAGCCAGGCTGAGCTAGATGTTGGGGTGGGGGGTACTGCAGCTGAGAAGATAGGTGGAGTGACAAGGTAGGATGCCAGGGTAGAGGCAAGCAGCGACATCCTCGGTCTCAGGCACTCCAGGGTCCTAGCCACTTTGCAGACACCCAAGGGAGGTTCAGAGGCCATATGACATGGGAAAGGACAAGATGAGGAGGTGAAGCCCAGTTCCCGGGCTCCGTGGCTGCCAGGGCCTCCCGTGGTGATAATATGCACAGAAACCCCTAGAGGAAGAAGTAGCTTTTATCCCCACAAGTGGAGGTCCTTTCTGCTGGATATGCAGTTCTGGGGAGAAGTCCCCATTTGCACTCTCCGAGTTCCATGCCCCAAACCTGGCCAGCTCCCTGCTATGCTTTTTGTACCTAGGGACTGCATGAGGCGCACATTCCACCCACAAGATTGGCTGAGCCCCAGGTTCCCTGCCTTGCTCCTTCTCTTCCAGATCCGGGAGCTGGTCCCCGAGTCCCAGGCTTATATGGATCTGCTGGCGTTTGAGAGGAAACTGGATCAAACCATCATGCGGAAGCGGGTGGACATCCAGGAGGCTCTGAAGAGGCCAATGAAGGTGTCTTGATTTGGGGGCATGAAGAGGTCTCTAGGTTCTGTTCCAGGAATGGAAAAGTGGGACTGCCCCGGGAATGGGAGCACACGTGTTTGCTCTTGTACTATACTCTTTATTTCTACAGCAAAAGCGGAAGCTGCGTCTTTATATCTCCAATACTTTTAACCCTGCGAAGCCTGATGCTGAAGATTCTGATGGCAGCATTGCCTCCTGGGAGCTGCGGGTGGAGGGGAAGCTCCTGGATGACGTACGTCCTGGCCCAGGTCTCTCCAGGTGTCCTGGGGTGGGTATGGGGCTGAGCTGAGGACAGAAGGAGATGTTTGCACTATGGGTTAGGGAGTCAGCCCAACCAGGGGTGGGCGGCCTGAAGAGACAGTATGGGTGTAGAGGCCTGCCTCTAATCATGCTGCCCTACCCAACCAGCCCCACCTGCTCCCGACTCATCCTGCCCCCACGGTCCCTGTCCTGCCCCCACGGTCCCTGTCCCTCTCCCACAGCCCAGCAAGCAGAAGCGGAAGTTCTCTTCCTTCTTCAAGAGTTTGGTCATTGAACTGGACAAAGACCTTTATGGCCCCGACAACCACCTAGTTGAGGTAAGACCCAGACCTCTTTTGCCCGGGAACTGCCACCCTTCCAGACCACAGTTCCGTCAGCCGCACAGATCTGGATCAGGGACCACCCTAGAGTCCCTGGCCTCGGCAGCCCATGTGGGCCTGTGAGGTGACCCAGCTCTCCTTCCCTGGGCAGTGGCACCGAACACCCACAACCCAGGAGACGGATGGGTTCCAGGTGAAGAGGCCGGGGGACCTGAGTGTACGCTGCACACTGCTTCTCATGCTGGACTACCAGGTCTGTGCCCTGCCCCCTGACTCCACCTGAGGCCCCTAGCCCCCCCCAGCCCCCCACCCCTTCCCTTAGGCCAGGCCTAGGCTTCACGGGAATACACCAAGAGACCCCATTCTTTTCCCTACCTCATTACCAGAAGCAGGTTTCCCAGGAGCCCAGTCACCACATTCCCCCAGTCCCACACTGCCTGGCCCTGAGCTCTTCCCACTCCCTCTTTATGTCCATGGCCATCTTTCCTCAGCCTCCCCAATTCAAACTGGATCCTCGCCTGGCTCGGCTGTTGGGATTGCACACACAGAGCCGCTCAGCCATTGTGCAGGCCCTGTGGCAGTATGTGAAGACCAACAGGCTGCAGGACTCGCATGATAAGGAATACATCAATGGGGACAAATACTTCCAGCAGGTACCCTCTCTCCTGATCTTGGGGATGTGGGGGGCAGGCAGAGGTACCAATAGGGGAAGTGCCTCAACTAAGGCAGCACCACCCCCCTTCTAGATTCCTGGCTATCACAAATGGTAAGCAGGGTCCTAGTGTAGGCCCTACTGCAGCGTAGCTCCGTGCTGCAGCCCACCATCCATTTTAGACAAGCCAGTTTAGAAAGATCCAGAACCTTAAAAGGTCAACAGTTTGGGGAATGTAATATTCTTGGCACTTGGAAGTTAGGATCCCTGGGTTCTAGTCCTGGGTCCAAGACTCTACCAAAGTAGAGATTATTAATAATGCTTTAAAAATAAATATGAGGGATCCCTGGGTGGTGCAGCGGTTTAGCGCCTGCCTTTGGCCCAGGGCGCGATCCTGGAGACCCAGGATCGAATCCCACGTCGGGCTCCCGGTGCATGGAGCCTGCTTCTCCCTCTGCCTGTGTCTCTGCCTCTCTCTCTCTCATTCTATGTGACTATCATAAATAAATAAAAATTTAAAAAAAATTAAAAATAAATATGGCAGATAAACTTGAGGAGTAAAATAACATTCGAGGTTTATTGAGCACTTGCCATATGCCAGGCACCACTGCAGGCATTTGATGTGTACTCATCCACTTAGTTCTCCCAGCCACCCTGGTAGTTACTATCCCCACACCGGACATGCTACAACAGGCCTGAGAGCCTCGTGGACTGGCCCAAGGTTGCAGTGTTAATGGGAGAGGCAGGATTTGCACCTGGGTGGCCGCCGACCCAGAGCCGGTGCTTTGGTCCCCTGCACCACAACCCCCACACCTCCTGGTCCACTCTCTACTGCCCACAGACACCCTGGTCCCAGCCCCAGCAGCACTAAGGAGTTAGATTTGCTCTTGGCATCTTGTGGCCGCCCACAATGGAAGGATCTAGGGCTGAGTGGTCTCTTTCTCTCCCACCTCAGATTTTTGATTGCCCACGGCTTAAGTTTTCTGAGATTCCCCAGCGCCTCACAGCTCTGCTGCTGCCCCCTGACCCAATTGTCATCAACCACGTCATCAGGTGAGGCCCCAGCTTGCTCCTCTGACCAGAGAATCATGGCAGTCCTGCCCACTCTATCCCTCCCACCCCACCCCTGCCCCCCACCTCTGCCCCTGGGACCCTTGGCCTCTGTGAAAGCAGTGTGGATACCAAGGGCTGGACTTCCCTGGCAGCGTGGACCCGTCGGACCAGAAGAAGACGGCGTGCTATGATATTGACGTGGAGGTGGAGGAGCCACTGAAGGGACAGATGAGCAGCTTCCTCCTGTCCACAGCCAACCAGCAGGAGATCAGCGCTCTGGACAGTAAGGTGGGGCCAGAGCCCAGAACTGGAGTGGGACATTAACCCAGAAATGACAAAATACAGACAACAGACAAGAGCGTAGGCCTATGGAGAGATGAAGGGGGCAGGTGGCCCTTCCCTCGCTACTTGGGAGTGCTGCCCATCCCCCCTTCCTGGGGGACTGCAGAGGCAGCAGCGACCTGAGGGATAGCCCTTTAAAGAACTGATGGCAGCAGATCCCAACCCCCACTGGCCCCCCCTCCTCCTTCCCCTCCTCTCCCACATCACCATGGCCAGGTGAAAGTGTCTGTCTTTCTACCTGTAGATCCATGAGACGATTGAGTCCATAAACCAGCTCAAGATCCAGAGGGACTTCATGCTAAGCTTCTCCAGAGACCCCAAAGGCTACATCCAAGACCTGCTCCGCTCCCAGAGCCGGGACCTCAAGGTGAAGGGGACTCAGGGAGCACTGGATGGAAGACAAGCATATCGGGAAGACAGTAAATGTTGTTACACGGGGGCTGGAGGGGGTCTGGGCACAGGGCTGACCCCACTGCTCCCTCCCAGGTGATGACAGATGTGGCAGGCAACCCTGAGGAGGAGCGCCGGGCTGAGTTTTACCACCAGCCCTGGTCCCAGGAAGCTGTCAGCCGCTATTTCTACTGCAAGGTGTGGAGGGGCCCGTGTACCTCAGGCCTTCCCTCCCTCGCTCCAGGAGAAGCCTCCCTTCTCAGCCACGTCTGTGGCCTTTGCCACCCCACCAACCCCCTTGCCGCGGAGGAGCCCTCCCTGCTCCCAGAGGCTCTTCCAGGGTGGCTGGGTGGGACTGTCCAGTCACTCACCAACAACAGCGTAACCCTGCTACTGCTCTTATTTCTCTAAAGATCCAGCAGCGCAGGCAGGAGTTGGAGCAGTCGCTGGTTGTGCGCAACACCTAGGAGCCTCTGTGAATGACCACCGCTGTGGGCCTCTGGGCCCAGGCCCTGTCCCCCAAAGCTCTGCCATCACTCTTCTGACACGTGCTGGGTGAGGCAGGGGAATGATTAAAGGTCATGCATCTGAGAGCAGCCTTGTGTGTCATTGGCAACTGGGGAGGAAGGACAGGGGGAAGGCGGTGGGTCCCTCTGGGAAACCCCCCCTCTGTCCCAGATTCTTCTCTCCATTTTCCCTAGACCTAAAAACAGTTTGGCAGAAGACGCTTTTAATAACATTTTCTTATTAAAAAAATACAGCAACAAGCTCTCCATCTGTCCATCCATTTTGCCTCACCCTTCCCAAGGCTGGCAGACAGGGGAACTCCATGGAGGGGCAGGGCCCCGGGGCCTGCTACGTGCTGTTGGCCTGCTCCTGCTCAAACAGTGCCATGGCCAGCTGGGCGCGGCCCCCCAGCCCCTCCAGGTTGCTGAGGCGGCAGCGGTGGTAGAGCTCCTCGCTGAGCCGTGGGCTACAGTCACGCAGGGCGAACTTCTGCACCAGCCCTGGCTCCACGGCCCGGAAGAGGTGGAGCCCTGAGAACCGGAGGAAAACATCCATCACCTCCAGCCCCTCCAGGGCTTCCTCCTCTTCCTGGCCTGCCAGTTCACCAGCCAGCCGGGCCCGGGCCGCCAGGTAGTCGGCATTGTAGAAGCAGCCCTCCGCAGAAGCCTGTCGGTCAAACCTGCCTCCTACAGGAGCCCCCCGGGAAGGGTCGGCACCAGGAGGGGACGGGGGGTCAGCACCAGCTCCTGGGGGCCCTGGGGGAGATCTCTGTGGTGCCAGGGCAGGGTTGAACTCCTGGAAATGCACTGGGAAGAAGGCCTGCCAGCCCGAGATGGCATTCATCCGGCAGCGGTTGAGGACTTCGGGCCCAGGCCTGGTCCACACGGTGGTGAGGAAGAAAAGCGTATCCACGGGGTGCTTCTTGGAGACCACGTCCATGAGCCGCACCTGGGAAGGGGCCTCTGCGCGCACAGCGAGCCAGGCCAGCCTGGTCCCAGGGTACCGTCGCTCTAACTCAGCCGCTGCTGCCTTCACCCCCAGGAATGGGTCTGGGGCCCCTCGGCCACCTTCCCGAGGTCCATAGACCAGCAACAGGGTAAGCAGAGCATGCTCTCGAGGCTCCAGAACACCGGCTGCAAAGGCCTCCAGGAAAGCAAGGGCCGCAGTGGCTTCGGCTGCCAGGAGCGGCAGCACCAGCTGCACACGGGTGGCCTCGGTGACGTAGGGCATGGGCAGGATCTCCACCCGGCTCAGCGGTCGCAGCAGGCTGACCCTGCGCGCCAGGGCCCTCCGGTGCCCGCGCTGCGTCACGGCTTCCAGCAGGAGGTCCAGGGTGTACTCCATGCCCCGTGCCGGGTCGAAGCGCCGATAGCCATTGAGCAGCCGCTGCTTCTGAAAGCGCAGGCGGGGCTGGTAGCGCCGGTTTAGCTGCTCCAGAGCAGTCTCCACAGCGTCACCCACATCGGCCCTGTTGGCCCCCTGCAGTGGGCACTTGGGGGACCCGTCTGCACAGGAGAAGGTATGCTGCTCTGTGAAGTAGTCCCAGCCCAGCACCTCAAAACGGGAGTGTGGTGTGAAAGGGGCCGGGAGCCCAATGGGCCAGCTCAGCCCTGCCTCGCCCTCGGGGGTCAGCATGGTCAGGTTCTGGATCTGAGCCTAGGGTGGGAGGGACGCACAGTTAGTGCCCTCTGGGGAGTCAGGGCTTGACCCGGCTCTAGCATTCTGGGCTTGGAGCTCTGTCCTGACTCTGTCAACACGCAGTGAGGTGCCCCTGCACTAATCGATGAATTCCCTTTCCATTCTTGTCTGTAAAATGCAGAAAGCATATGAATCATACATACCTAACACAGCTGCTGTGAAAAGGACGAGGTGGGAAATGTGCTTTTGCAGAGGTTAGAGCCCCGCAGCCTTTCTCTCTCATACCCACAGTACACCTTCCTCATCACGGCACCTGTGCTTTCACCCGCACTCCACTTCTCACAACCCTCAGGATCAACTGGAGCGTTTGTCCACATCTACCCTCGGGCTTTTTAAGGATAGTGCTGGAATTTAGGGACTTCTAGGCTTCTGCTTCTTCAGGGCAGAGGCATTATGGGAAAGGAACTAAAACAGTCATGTCTAAGCGCTGTACCCAGCCCCGGTCCTCAGAGTGCATCTGCAAACCCTTTTAACTGCATCCAAGTTGTGCCAGGAGCTTCTCTTATGGTTGAACTGGGTCCCCATGGGCCCCTCCTCCTTGGAGTTGTTTAAACTTAGGTATGGTCGGCTCCTTCTACCTCGTCAGCCTCCCTGTTCACTCAGCTGCCCACTCACTGTGACCCTGGACAGCTGAAGCTCCCTCTGACCTCCAACCACGGACCCAGGCTCACCTGCAGTTGTTCTATCTCGCCGTACGCTCGCTCAAGCTCCAGAGCGCTGAAGCGTTTATGGAGCTTGTACATGAGGGTTCCCTCGGAGACGGGGTGCACTGCAAAGGCACTCAAGAAAGCCGAGCTCCCCTCCTTCTCAGGGTCCCTATTTTTGGCCAGTTCAAATGAACGATACTGCTGCCCCTAAAGGGACCAATCAGATCAATCAAAACCACACATGGAGGGCTGCCTATCCCAACCACCCTTAACCGGACTCCACATTCACACCTGTTGCTGCCACAGAATGGGGATGGGAGGGTGGGGAGCAGGAGCTCACTCCAATGTCCCCTTCTACTTGGCCTCTCACCAGTTTGGGGGAAAAAATCTGAAGTAGGCAATTAAAGATGCCCTCTTTGCCCAAAGAATCCCACTTTCTCAAGAGAATGAAAGCCATGAGTCAGAAAATACCCCCACTACTCTGGTTTACCTTACCTCTCCAGGACAGTAGCCATCTCTCAGACATTCCCCGATCATTTATGATTGTGTGTGTGTCAGGGGAGGGGGCAGAGGGCAAGGGGGCAGATGGGAGCACCTTTCTACTTTGCTCAGAGGGTCCCTGAGAAGTTGCCACTTTTGGCAGTCCCAGGGTTGGGTTCTAAGCCAGGGTCAGTGGCCAGGAAGGACAAAACCCCAAGGTGCTGCTGGGAAGGAGCCAGCAGCACCCACCCTGGAGATCAACCACTCAGATACTACAAATTGTTGGGGACCGAGATTGACTTGAAAGGGCCGTCACCTGGTGCTGCGAGACACAGCCGATGCCCAGAGAGTCGATGAGGCAGCGGCCAAGCCACTCATCAGGACGGGCACTGAGAATGTCTCCTCGGCAGCCATCCAGATGTGGCCGCAATCGAAGCAGGAGACTCCGTGACAACAGGTAGCCAAAGCCCCCATGGCAGTACCGGGCCTGCTCGCCTGCGCCAATAAACTCCTCTGCTCGGCCCAAGTACAGGTCTTGGTTGATGCTGAGATGGCCTGCAAGGGCTGCCAGGCGGGGGGCCTGTACATACGTGTCATCCTGCATGATGAAGAACCAGTCGTAGTCGGCCCCAAAGTGTGTGTGGAGGTGGCGCAGGGTCTCTGACATGAGCCAGGCTGGCCGTTCATCCCCGTGCGATACCACCTGCATCCCTGCAGGAGTCCGGGCTCCTCGCTGCCCCGTGAAGTACAGTAATCGAGGGAAGTGGTGGGCCACGGTACGGTTGACAGCCACAGCCAGAGTGGATAGGGTAGCCCTGGAAGTCAGCACAGCCACTAGCAACCGCTCCCGAGAGCCCAGCTCTGTCTGGATATACCGAGTCCTACGGAGGGACCAACATGCCAAGGGTCAACTCCTTGACCTTTAGGATCCGGCATATATATTCCTCTAGGAATGAATGAGCTAGGGTTGAGAAGGAAGGAGAGACCTCCTCATCAATATTAATGAGCTACTACAGTGAGCATCCACTGACACTGGAATTCATTTGGGGAGGGATCTACTAAGGATGGATTAGATGGTTATTAGATGGTTAGATGCAATTCCTGTCCTATTTCAGAACATTCAATACTAATTTAACACTGATGGGTGAGACCTTCTCAAACCTGAGAAGGGAAAGAAGAACGAACCGTGGGTTTGTTGTATGGGTAATAGGGTAAGGAATCACTCTAGGAACCTAACACTATTACCACTGAAGACAGAGGCAAAGCCTTAGAGCCGCACTGAAGTGGCGTTTGAGGACCATGTACAGACATAGCTCTCACCTGAGCACCTTCTTATAGGGCTTGTTGGGATCCCTGTAGTAAGGGACAATCCGGGGTTTGAAGTCTTCATCACTTTGGTCGAGTCCAGTTCTTGAGTCTGGATTATGTGGCACTCCTGGTTCTCTCACAGCTTCTACACAAGGATCTTCTCCCTCACCCTGGATCCAGGAAACCCGCAAGAGGCTCAGGCTGCATCCCAGAGACAGCCCTAGGATGAGGGGCAGTGCTGGTCGCAGCAGAGCCAACAGGGAGCTCAGTCGCATGGTGGTAGGCCCTGCCATGTGCATGCCCCAGAGGGCACAGCCTCAAGGATCAGTCAATAGGTTGATGGGTGTCAGGCCAGTAGCAGGCCTATGGTTTTAACCAGGAAACCTGGGGACAGTGAAGTCGACAACAGAGCAAGGCCAGTAGCAGGCCTATGGTTTTAACCAGGAAACCTGGGGGCAGTGAAGTTGACAACAGAGCAACAGAGAAGGAAGGTCTGCTTCTAGTCCCAGCATCCCCAGGAAGCGTATGCCTGGGCTTTAGTCCTCAAGGTGCCATATTTAACCCTCAGCCTAAATGGCAATACATATTACAGTCAATTTCACCCACTAATGGCATTATGGTCTTCCAGAAAAAGGAGGAAACAAACTTAATCCTGACAAATCTAATGCAAAAAGGAGAACTACACACATCCGCAGACTGGATCTAAGGTGAGACAAGCAGCAGCTGATAAAGAAGGAGTTGGGGAAAAGCACATTCTCCATCAAAATAACAGCCCCAACTACAAGAGCCTGCCTCAGTAGGCCTTCTTCAAAGAGCACCTCGCTGGGCGCATGTTTCTCACTCGATTTACTGAAGAAGCTGCTGACTAGCTATTGAAAGGCCAGCACTGCGGAAGGGTTAAGGGCCTCTTTCTACTCTACTCCTGAGTTTAGTTAAGGGAACACACAGCTAGAATAACCCCTCCTCCCCAGCGAGGGTGTCCAGGAGCCGCCGGCATGGTGCAGAGTTCTGCGCACCCCAGGAGGTGGACAGATACGGTGACTCAGCACTGAGAGCCTCTCAGAGGAGCACAACGGCTGATGGAACCATTTCGCAGGGCAATTCTTCTCTGAGGCCCAGCTGCGGAGAGGCTGGCGCCGTCCACTTTCTTCTGAGAGGAGACAGGAAGCAAATGACAGTAACTCTGGCTGTGTACGCAAGTCGGTGCCTGGCTTTACCGGGGCCCCCAGGTACCCAAGCCAAACCAAAGCGGGAGGACGAGAAGCAGCTAGAGACAACACCGGGGTCCTGTGACCTTCGGTCCTTCGGACGTGGCCGCTGCCAGGACGAGGGCCCCTGCTCTATTTCTCGGCGACCAAAGACCAAGTCTAGTCCTAGAAGGAAGGCCCAAAGCGAGTTTTAGCCGTTAGGCTCAAAACAGAAACAAAACCGGCTGCGTCACGGAGCTGTCGAGGAGGGGCTGGGGGGCTCCGCTCGGTTTGCCGGTTTGCTGGGGCGGAGGGATGCAGGTCGCGGTGCGGGAGGAAGGCAGAGACCCCGGTATCAGAGGCCCTGCCAGCGCCGGCGGGCGAGGGTCGGCATGCACACCCCGAGGCCCACGGGGGGAGGCCCTGCAGCAGGGCCAGGAGAGGCGGCGGACCGGTAAAGCGCAGCCAGGTGTGGCCCAGGCGGCCAGCGCCGTCCCGGGGAGCGGGGGCGAGGGCGTGGGGGCGGCACCTGCTCCTGCCGTCTGGGGCGGCGCCCCGGTCGCCCCCGCAGGGGGAAGGGTGGGGAAGGGGGAACAGACCCCAGTGCCGGGCCGAGGCGCCGGTTCCGCCGCTGCAGCCGCTGCCACCTCACAGCCCGGCCCGCGCCTTCCTCTTCCGCTCGCCGTCAGCCCCCGTCTCTATGGTGACCGCATCCGGTCGCGCGCCGCGCCGCCGCCCCCTCGGCGGTCTCCCCGCCCCTTCCCCGCACTGCGCAGCCGCCGTGGGGTGACGTGGCTGCCCTGCCAGGCGCCCGCCCCCCGCAGAACCGGCGAGCGGCCCCGGAGGCGCGCCGCACCTTCAACCTCAACTTTTGTCTGCCTCGGAGATAAAAGGTCGCTCGCCTCAGTGGGCGCGCTTCTGCCTCCTGGACGACTTCTCCCGTCATCCGCTGAGTTATTTCAGAAATGTTTGCTGCTTGCTTGCTAAGTTGCGGACCGGCGTTGAAAGTACGGAGCGAACAGGTGGTAGACGAGCCGGGCAGGGTCCCTGCCCTCGGGGAGCCGAGAGCGGGGGGAGGCAGGCGTTCCACACACACTGACATGCCAGAAATGTCGACAGGTAGAAAGGAAATCGCGGCCTGTCATAGGTACCGCTGCAAGAAAGTAGAGCCCAGCGGAAAGACACGACGGGGAGAATCAAACTAGATGGGGAACTTAGGAATGCTGAGATCCCAAGATTCAGTCAGGTACCTTGGCAGAAAGTGGAGAGTTTTCCTGTGTAGGCCCTAAGAGAGGAAGGATGCTGCCCCAGGGAGGGCTGGAGGGCTGGAGGGCTGGAGGGCTGGAGGGCTGGAGGGCAGGCGGGGCCTTCCAAAGACCACTGCGGGTTCCCTACCCGGGAGGCACATCCCTAATAGGCAATCTGCAAGTGCGTGGGAGCGATCCTGTCCTAAGGTTGAGGGTAAGAGCCAAGAATGCTAGGTATCCTGCACTTTGCAAGACAGTGTCACACAAAAGGATTCGTTCAGCCCCCACAGCTTTCAAATATCCTCCTGATAAACACTCCTGTAAGCGGGGGGTGGGGGCGGGGGGGTGGAGGGGAAAGGTTATCATTAATCCTTGAGCCTGTGTTTTATATATAGAAACAAAATAATTTTGCAGGGTTGTAATATGTGCTGAATTTTCAAGAATGTAACTATTATGTAAATGGAAGGGAAATAGTACTTTGTTTCATTCAGGAATTTACTAAGTTACTGTTTTGGAGAACTATATCAGGGACAGCAGTGTTCTCCTGGTGTTCAGAGTGTCTACATTTGTACTGTCACATGCAAGATGATCCTATATACAGGTACAAACATATGACTGTTTTCTAGCATAGTGAAATAATTACTGGAAAGGATTTCCTTTTCTTTCTTCTGTTACAGTTAAGACCCATTTTTTTTTTAAATTGCGTGTGTAGGTTATATCACTTATGAACTTATTTCAAATAGTAAAGGGGGTGTTATTTTTATTTTTTTAATTTTTATTTATTTATGATAGTCACAGAGAGAGAGAGAGAGAGAGAGAGAGGCAGAGACATAGGCAGAGGGAGAAGCAGGCTCCATGCACCGGGAGCCCGACGTGGGATTCGATCCCGTGTCTCCAGGATCGCGCCCTGGGCCAAAGGCAGGCGCCAAACCGCTGCGCCACCCAGGGATCCCATGGGGGGATGTTATTTTAAAGGAAAGTTTGCTATTAAAAGGAAATATTGGGGCTGGTAGAGTTAAGAACCACCATTCTAGGAGGTATATAAAATAGAAGTTAACAACATTTGTTTTCCTTTACTGTGTTTTGGTCTCATCCTTAGTTAGACTGCAATTTGATCTCCCCTGGGCAACTGGCACATAATAAGTGGTAAGTGAATGATTTGTTAGAATAGACTGGTAAGCATAGTAGGGATGCTCACCTTGACCCTGGAAGGTACAGGTTCCAGACCAGCATTGTCCAACAGGAATAAAATGTAATTTTAAATTTTCTGCTAATCACATTTAAAAAAAGGTTAAATTAATTTTAATAATATTTATTATATTAAATATACCAAAATATCATTTAAACATGTAATCAATATTAAAAAGTTGAGATATTTTACATTTTTTCCACATGCCATCTTTTTCGTTTTTTTTTTTTTTTACTTTGTTTTAATTCCAGTATAACATATAATGTTATATAAGTTTCAGGTGTACAATATAGTGATTTGACAATTACATACATTACTTAGTGCTCATTATGGTAAGTATACTCTTAATCCCCTTCACCAATTCCACCCATCCCTCCCCCCACCTACTTTCAGGTAACCACCAGTTCTCTGTAGTTGAGTCTGGTTTTGTCTCTTTTGTTCTTTGTTCCTTTATTTTGTTTCTTAAATTACACGAGTGAAATCATCTGGCATTTATCTTTCTCTGACTTCAGTTAGCATTATATCCTTAGATCTATCCATGCTGTTGCAAATGGCAAGATTTCACTCTTTTTTTGTGGCTAATATTCCACTGTGCACATGTATCAGATTTTCTCTATTCATCTATCTGTGGACACTTTGTATTGCTTTTGTATCTTGGTTATTGTAAATAATGCTGCAGTAAACATAATAATGCTGTGTATATCTTCTCGAATTAGTGTTTTTGTTTCCCTAGGTAAATATCCAGTAGTAGAATTACTGGATTTAATGGCTTTTCTATTTTTAATATTTTGAGAAACCTCCGTACTGTTTTCCACAGTGGCTATACCAGTCTGCATTGCCACCAACAGTCCACAAAAGTTCCTTTTTCTCTGTCTTCACCAACACTTGTTTCTTGCATTTTTTATTTTAATCATTCTGACAAGTGGGATGTGGTTTTGATTTGCATTACCCTGATGAATAGTGATGTTAAGCATCTTTTCATGTATCTGTTGGCCATTTTCTTCAGAAAAATGTCTGTTCATGTCTTCTGCCACTTTTAAAATTAGATTATTTGGCGTTTTGTGGTGTTGAGTTATAGAAGTTCTTTATATATTTTACATATTAGCCCCTTATTGGATATATCATTTGCAAATATCTTCTCCCATTCAGTTGTCTTTTTGTTTTGTTTATGGTTTCCTTTGCTGTGCAGACGCTTTTTATTTTGGTGTAGTCCCAATAGTATTAATATTGCTTTTGTTTCTCTTGACAATGGAGACATACCTAGAAAAATTTTTCTATGGCTGATGTCAAAGAGATTACTGCCTATGTTTTCTTCTAGGAATTTTATGCTTTCAGGTCTTACATTTAGGTCTTTAGCCCATTTTGGGTTTATTTTCTTGTACCATCTAAGAGAGTGGTCCAGCTTTTTTTTTTTTTTTTTTTTGCATGTAGCTGTCCACTTTTCCCAAAACCATTTGTTGAAGAGACTTTTTCCCATTGCATATCCTTGCCTCCTTCGTCTCCACATGCAGTCTTTGAAACCGATAGTTATTTTACACTTACAGAGCATCTCAATTCAGACTAGGTGCATTTCAAGTGCTTCACAGCCTTATGTTGCTAGGGACCACCATGATGAACAACACAGTACCAGATCCTTCTCCCTTCTAAGTTACTAAGTATCTAGGTAACTCTGGATGAGACATCTCCTTCTTTGGGTCTCAGTTTCTTCATATTTTATTTATTTTATTCATTTATTTTAAAAGATTTTACTTATTTATTCATGAGAGACACACACACACAGAAAGAGAGAGAGAGAGAGAGAGAGAGAGAGAGGCAGAGACACAGGCAGAGGGAGGAGCAGGCTCCATCCAGGGAGCCTGACCTGGGACTCAATCCCAGGTCTCCAGGATCAGGCCCTGGGCTGAAGGCAGTGCTAAACCGCTGAGCTACCCTGGCCGCCCTATTTTATTTTATATTATTATTATTATTTTTATTTATGATAGTCACACACACACAGAGAGAGAGAGAGAGAGAGAGAGAGAGAGAGGCAGAGACACAGGCAGAGGGAGAAGCAGGCTCCATGCACCAGGAGCCCGACGCGGGATTCGATCCCGGGTCTCCAGGATTGCGCCCTGGGCCAAAGGCAGGCGCCAAACCGCTGCGCCACCCAGGGATCCCCTATGTTATTTTTTAAATAGGCTCTATGCCCAACATGGAGCTTGAACTCATGACCCCAAGATCAGGAGTTTCATGCTTCACTGCTGAGCCAGCTAGGCACCACTGTTTCTTCATATTTTATTTTATTTTATTTTTTTAAACATTTTATTTATTTATTCATGAGAAACATAGGGAGAGAGAGAGGCAGAGAAGCAGGCTCCATGCAGGGAGCCCGATGCGGGACTCAATCCCAGGACTCCAGGATCACGCCCAGGGCCGAGGGGAGGCGCTAAACCTAAACCGCTGAGCCACCCAGGGATCCCTGTTTTTTCATATTTTAAATAGAGTCCAGACCAAATGTTTTTCCTTCCAGAAGTGACCTGTGATTTTTCATACTTAGCCAGTTCTTTTCTTCTCCTCTCTACCCACATCTCTCTTCCATTTTCCCATTCTTTCCCCATCCCAGGTCTGTTCCCTGTAAAAGATCAAACCCTAGGTGAGAATGGCAGAACTTCTACATGGCCAACAGTTCTAAGCCACTCGCTGTGCTGAGGGAGACTCTGCCCAGCAACTGCTGATCATGGGGAATCGTGGATGTGATTGGTTGCTATGTGGGTGGCTTCAGAGAAGTAACTAGTTAATCTTTCTCTGGCCATCCCAAGCCATTTTACAACCCAGAAGATTCCAGCCTCAAATCCTGGCATTGTCTTCTACCAGCAGGGCTGTTTTATTAACAGCTCTGTGTTTTTGTTCCTAATCTGCAAAATGGTTTGTAAGTGGCAGGGTGTGTGTGTGTGTGTGTGTGTGTGTGTGTGTGTGTGTGTGTGTGTGTGTATTAAATGGGATAGCATAAATGTAAGAGCATAATAAACGTTAGTTCTCTGTAACCTGTTAACTTGCCTGTAACCACACATTTTAATGAGGCTGGGAGAGGGAGACATATTGTTGACAGTGCTCCCAAGAAGCTATGTGTTTGGATGAGTGATTTTATGTGATCCACAACCATATTTAACTTCTTTACTTCATAAAGAAAGGCTTTGCAGGGGCACCTGGGTGGCTTAGTTGGTTAAGCATCTGCCTTCAGCTCAGACCATGATCTTGGGGGCCCTGGGATTGAACCCCATGTCGGGTCAGGGCTCTCTGCTCAATGCAGAGTCTGCTTCTCCCTCTCCCTCTCTGCACGCTCTCTTTCTCAAATAAATAAATCTTTTTTAAAAAGGCTTTGCAGTTAACAATTGTCTATGTTCTTTACCTAAAGCAATGCTTTTGCCGATAGTAGATGCTTAATATTTGTTAAATGTATTAAGTTAAATAAATATCTAGTGCATACTTCAATAAAGATTCTACTAGTAGCAGAGTTCAGCCTAGCAGAACTCTAAGTAATAATTAGCCTATTAAAAAGAATTAAATTCTAATCTAACAACTACATGAGGTAAATACTATCATTCCCATTTTACAGAGGAGTATGTATTTTGCCCAAGGTCACCCGCTGTAAAGGTGGGGTTTGAATGAAGCAGTCTGCCCCCCAGAATCCACTCAGTTATGCTATGTCAAGTGTGGTCCCCATCTAGGTACTACAGCAACGTGCATAAGCCACTTCTTTTGTGGCACTTATCACATGAATGTCGTGGTCTCTTTACTTTTTTTTTTTTTTTTTTTTAAGATTTTTCATGAGAGACAGAGAAAGAGAGGCAGGGGGAGAAGCAGGCTCCATGCAGGGCGCCGGATGCGGGATTGGATACCAGAACTTCGGGATCACTCCCTGAGCAAAGGCAGATGCTCAGACGCTGAGCCACCCAAGGATCCCCCTGTTTTTGTTTTAAACAGAGGTGGGGGCACTTTTGGAGAATGTGCTCAAAGGGATTAAAAGCTTCATTTGCCTCCTCCAGCTGTGTCACCTACCCTGAAGCACCAATGATCAGAAGCCGGGAGAAATAACGGATCACAAAGGGTCTGCCTTCTATTTGAGGCTACTAATTTAGGATTTACTGTGCAGGCGATGAGAAGCCCGTGAAGGATTTTAAAGAGTAAGACTCAAAGAGAAAGTGCAACGTTCCACGTGTAACTAGTGACACAGCTAAACTCAGGAAAGGGGTCTTTCTTCTTTCACTTTCAGAGCTCTTACCACCAGACTTACATAGCTTTGATGAAAATCAAACCATTCTGGAGTGTGTAGGCTGAGCGGCCAAGGTTCAGGAGCAACGTTCGGCACCCTTCAAAAGTTTGGTTAACACTGGACCAGCCTCTAAAATCTCGGTTCCATAAAACGAGGACGCCTTTCTCTCAAGAGGAGTTCCGTCCTTCGCATCATCTTCGTCGCGACGTGCCTCTTCCTCCGCCCCCTCCTCCCAGTCGCCTCACTCTTCCTCCTCTTCTCTCCCCATTGTTCCGAGCCGCTCCCCCCTGACGCATGCTGGGAAGGGTAGTCACTACTCTCCCTGCTCTTTGGGCCGGCGGGGCGGCCCTATAAACTCAGTATCTGCACAGAACGCCACAGATTCTGCGAGGTGGGGTACAGCCTGGAAGGCCCACCCCCTCAGCCGAGGAGCAGTCTGGGAGTTGCAGTTTCTAGGCCCCCAAATCGCGCAGGCTGGCTGGGGCTCTTGGACTCTAATTCCGCCATCCTCGCGCATCCTGATGGCGTCACGCGGGCCCGCGAGGCCCCTGCGACAGGCTGTAGTTCTCGAGGAGGGGTCTCCGCCCTAGCCGCCGCGACTAGAGAACAACACTTCCCAGGAGTCTGCGCGGCGGCGCGCCGATAGCCGCGCGATGCCGTGATTGGCTGGTGAGCCGGCCGCACGCGGAGGAGCCCAAGGAGCAGCTCTGTTGCGACAGAGGCCGAGCAGCGAGGCCCAGTGAGTTGGGGGAAGGGGCGCCGGGGGGAGGGTGCTGGCCGGTGGGGGGGGGGAGGGAAGAAGAGAAGAGGGAGGAGGGACGGAGTCGGGATGGAGGAGGCTGCGGAGAAGAAAGGGCCGAGGGAGAGACGCTGACGGGCGGGGGCTGGGGGAAGTCCCGAGGGTAGCGAGTGAGGAGACCCCGAGGGGACTCACCGAGGGGAAGACGAGTGCGTCCCGGGAAGAAGCTGGGCCCGAGGGCTAGGTGGTGTGGAGGGGGACCACGGAGCGGAGGACTGAGGCGGACGGGAGGAGGAAGCCCGGGAAAGTGAGGCGCCCGGCTGGAGCGCCGAGCGCCAAGTTGTGGGGAAACCGGAGACGGGGACCTCTGCCGAGGGGGCAGAACCTGGTCCCAACTGGAGGCCCTGAAAGGAGGAGCGTTTCCAGAGTGAGGCAGTCCGTGGAGATTGGTGGACAAAGCCCGAGGGAAGAGATGCTGAGATTAGAAGAGCGGCCGAGGACCAGAATTGGCTTGAGAGACCCTGACAAAATTTGGAGCGGCTAGGCTTGGGCGGAGCTGGGTATCCGAAGCTCGGTAGGGAAATTCCTGAGCGGGATGGAGCAGGGCCCAGGCGTTCTACCGCAAGTTCAGGATTTGGGGTGTTTGCCTTTCCTCAGACTCCCTGTAAGAACACTTTCGTACCCCTGTGGTTCATCACCATGCCCTCTGACCTGGCCAAGAAGAAGGCAGCCAAAAAGAAGGAAGCTGCCAAAGCACGACAGCGGCCCAGAAAGGGACACGAAGAAAACGGAGATACTGTCACAGAACCACAGGTGGCAGAGGAGAAAAATGAGGCCAATGGCCGAGAGACCACAGGTGAATTGAGGGAGATGAGGGTTCCTGGGATGGTTGCTACCACTTAACAGATGCCCAAACTGGAGTCAGAATCCTGATGCCGGGGCGGGGGGGGGGGGGGGGGGGGGGGATTGGAAAACACATATTTGATGCCACGGAACTTTCCATGATGAACCAAACTGATAGAGTTGGAGCTTGTGCTGTCTTATTATTGATCAGGGAAACTGAACACAAGGTTCTCACAGACCCAGTGGGAGACAAACGTTCAGGTATTGCGCTACCTTGCTGCTGTGTGTGCTAGCCTGAAGAAGCGGTCAGTTCCTTGCCCCTTTGCTCAGTTTCCATTTCTACACATGGTGGTAAGTGTGCCAGGTTCTTTGCCACATCATACCTCCGTCCTTCAAGGGGTTGTGACTCTACCAAGAGAGAAACTTATGAATTGCTTTATGGATTTTTCCTGGGAGAGAGCTGCTTTTCTGTTATTTATATCCTGAGAGGTTATTTATTGAGCACTTCTCAAATGTTAGACACCATGCTACATAAGTGATGCACTTGGAACAGTCTGATAACGTACAGCCAAGCTAGGAAAACATGACAGTGTGTGATACTGAATTTCCCAGGCCTTTGGCAGTCTATTCCTAGCCTTCTTTCCGGCCCCTCTGAAAGCTCCCCAAACAGACCTAGTCCATCCAGACTATTATTGTCCCTTGACTAGTCGTGATATATTTCTCCTTTTACACTCAGGTTCTAATACCACAATTTTTGTGCTGGCTATGCTTGACATTTCTGCCAGGGCCAGCTCAGGATAGCAGAACCTTTCCCATCAGACCTGACCTTTAAAATAGTAGCATTCATGATACCTCTGTGCTGTCATATTGTGTTACTTTTTATGTTGTGTCTTCTGTTCCTTCATCTAAATTGTTTATTCTTTGAGTGCGGGGACCATGTATCTTGGGTAATACTTTTTTGTAGGACTAAACTTGCAGATGGAGATACTCAGTAAATGTTTGAAGAGGAGAGCAAAATTACTAATGCAAGTCATAACAGATAGGAATTCAGAAAAGGGGGAATTAAAAGTGATTGAGAGGAGAGAGTTAAATGGTAGGAATTGTATCCAAAATAGGAATTATGAGAGAAGGGATGCCTGGGTGGCTCAGTGGTTAAGCATCTGCTTTGGCTCAGGGCGTGATCCTGGATTCCCAGGTTCAAGTCCCACATTGGGCTCCTTGCATGGAACCTGGTTCTCCCTCTGCATGTGTCTCTGCCTCTCTTTCTGTGTCTCTCATGAATAAGTAATAAAAAATATATATATTTTAAAAAGAGTTATGGGAGAAAGCTGGTGCAGTAAGGTTAGGCCGTGGGGAAGTTTTGTTCCTGGCTAGAGTAGTAGAGGATTGTCAAGTTGAGAATGATGGGAGTGAATGAGGTGGCTGAGTTGTGATCTCTAAAATAGAGAAGCAGGGTTCCCTCTAGGCCCTCAGGAACTGTGATGAAGCAATCAATATCCATTATCAGCTCTGCGGTATGTCATCAGCTCTTTCTGGCTGAATTGGAAAGGTAGCAAAATGAATCCTATCTGAGATTATTGTCCAATGTTCCCATTACAAATTTCTTGTTCACTTTTGTTTCTAGGAAAGTAGGATTTCCAGGGCACCTGACTGTGGTATCCCCATCTCAGTAATAGGAGAACATTGGTTTTCACCTTGCTTCCTCAGGGAGCTGCTGTTCTGAAACATGACATCTGTTTTCTTTCCAACCCTCTTAAAACATTTCTTCATGCCAGGGACCTGTGTCATTTCTGCTCTGTCTCAAGAGTGGGTCCTCTCTCCTTTCTGAGTTTGAGATCACTTGGTGCTGCAGGTCACCATTCTCCAACCTTTGCTGATTGCCATTGTCTCATACTCCTTAAGTAGTAAGTTATGGAAAGATCGAAATAAATATCAAAGAAAGGGACCTCTGGAAAAAAAAAGAAAAAGAAAGGGACCTCTGACAGCTTACCCTTCTTTAGAATGTGACTTCAGGACAGGCACAAGTTCATCCTGTCTTCTTGAGGAGTGAGTAGAAAGGGACTTCTTGTAAAGTCTATTCTCTCTGATGTTTATTCCAGAATCCCTTTTCCATTTTTTCAGTGCTGTTCACTTGTCTTTAAGTGACAGATGTTTCCTAGGATGCTGTAGGCTCAGAAAATGAGGTCTGTATTAAGTCTCTTATTTTTTTTAAAAAGGTTTCATTTATATATTCATGAGAGACAGAGAGAGAGAGAGAGAGAGAGAGAGAGAGAGAGGCAGAGACACTGGCAGAGGGAGAAGCAGGCTCCATGCAGGAAGCCCGACGTGGGACTCGATCCCGAGTTCCCAGGATCACGACCTGGGCTGAAGGCGGCGCTAAACCACTGAGCCACCCGGGCTGCCCAAGTCTATTACTTTTGAAGGTTGGGAGGTGACTTGGGTCCTAGATGCTGTAAATTAGAAGAGGTCAGGAGAAGAGGGTATATAGCTTTTTCTTAATTTTGATCTTCCTCTTGCCTGAGCAGATGGAGATCTAGACCAGGGATCGGCAAACTTTTTTCTATAAAGATCCAGATAGTATTTATAGCTTTGTGAGCCATATGGTCTCTGTGCAGCTGCTCAGCTCTGCCATTGTAGTGGAGAGCAGTCACAGGTACTATGCAAATGATGAATGTGGCTGTGTTCCAGTAAAACTTTATAAAAACAGGCAGTTGGCCTAATCTGGCCAGCTTTGTTTTAAGCCACACACACCCCCAAGCTAAGAATGATTTTCTACTTTTTTTTTTAAGTGGTTACTTTTAAAAGTCTTGATTTTGCCACTTGGCCTGTAAACCCTGAAATATTTAGCATCTGACTCTTTAAGAAAACGTTTACCAATTCCTGATCTAGATCATGAACTCTTCTACTCCCATCTTCTCAGCATCTAGAATAGGGGTTGATATGAAGCGGAGATGTGGGAAGCCTGATAACCACGTAGAAAAGAGACTGGAAGTTCCTTTATTCAGTGAAAACTAAAACTTTGATCTCCAGTCAAAAAAATACTCATCAAGCACTTATTTGAGGTGGACACGGAGTGCCTGCCATCTGTCTAGAGGATCAGTCCCTTCCCTAAATGTTGGTTCCTTGAAGGTAGAGCAGGGTTAGCACCATGGTGGGTAATGGCATGAGCACTAGTAATCGCGTGACAAGATGTGGTATTCAGAGAGTGACCAAATCTAACCACCACACACCCTGTCTTGGAATTGCTGCCCCCAAGGAGAGAGCTCTCTCCACCCCTTACTCCACCTTTCTTCCTCCTGAGGACAAACACATAGTCTTTTCTCATTTCAGGGATTCTGTACAATTGCTAAGGGAACATAGGTGAGAATGACAGGCTAATAAATCAGCAAATTCTTGTAGTTGTGAAACCTGATGCATAGTTCTGACTCCTTCCCAAAAAAAGGTAAATAGATCACCTTATTCTCTTTTGGAAGAAGCTTACCAGGACTCCCTCTACCCCCATTTCTGTCCCACTTTGTAGGTACTTTCCTTTATGGAAAGGTAGTATAGTGACATTGTTAAGATTACCTGGTTCAGATTCTGGCTCTGTCACTAACTAGCCTTTTTTAGCTTGCCTGTGTTATTTAATCTCTTCACTTATAAAGCAGGAATTATAAATATGTATTTTATGTATGTTGTAAGGATTAAGTTAGATGGAGAATGATGATGTAGCACGGTCTCAGGTACAGAGTAAACTCAATATTGATTAGCTATTAATAGTACAGTTCTTCTCAGGCTAAAGATTTATTCATGCCTGAAAAACCACAAAGGCACAACGACTCATGGTCAGTTTGTATCTCTGTAACCCTCCAGGTTTGGGAACATCTGGTTTTCCCAGACTTGGCTCTGCCTGTGTTGATCCCTTTGTACATTTTCTCACACTGGTCTCTTCTGTGCTGTTTAGAAGCATATCTGGAATATGGAATTCTACTAGGTCATGGAATAAGAGAATTGGCAGTCTTCTCTAGTATCTTCATTTCTTTTGGGTTTTAGGACTAATTCTTTAACACATACATATGAAGGAAAATTGGGAGTTCTAGCCATTCCCCTCATGCATTTGTCATTTAAGAACAAGAGAAGTTAGAATTAAAAGAACAAGCTGTGAAGTAAAAAGCAGTCCATGAAAGGAGGGTATTAGGACAGATCTATATACAATGTACACACTCTAAAGCTTGTGAAACATCTGAGTCAGCTCTTGGGTCTTTGTATGTTAACATTTAGTTACCTAAGTAAGGGGCAAAAGCCACAGATGCCCAAACAGGGACTCAAACAGTGAACCCTCAGTTTAAAAGTCTGATTCTCTACTAACTGAGCTGTGTGAATGCTCTTTTAGTGCATGGCTTTTAGTGCAAAGGCAGGGTTGGTCTTATCTTCTTCCCAAACTTCTTTTCTGTCTCCAGAATTGGATTTGCTGACCAAGGAACTAGAGGACTTTGAGATGAAGAAAGCTGCTGCTCGAGCTGTCACTGGTGTTCTTGCCTCTCACCCCAACAGTACCGATGCCCACATTATCAACCTCTCCCTCACCTTTCATGGTCAAGAGCTGCTCAGTGACACCAAACTGGAATTAAACTCAGGCCGTCGTTATGGCCTCATTGGCTTAAATGGAATTGGTGAGGCCCTTGGAAGGCGAGGTGGGAGGTATCTCTCCTTGGCTCGTCTGTCTCTCAGCAAGTATTTACTTAGCACCAGCTATGTGCAAAGCAAGGAGTTTACAATATGGGTGGGAGACCACATATGTCCAGGGAAAAGGAGCTAGCAGTACAGAGCAGTATGTGGTAAGTACCACATGAGTAGTTTCAGACAGTAGGTGCTGGAGAAGTGGGCGGGAAGGGCAGGAGTGGTGGTGTGTGAGGCCACTGTAAGTGAACTGACTTCACCAAGGAGGGGTAGGACAAGAACTGATGGAAAGTTGGAAAGGTAGCCCAAGAAAGCAGGGGGTGGGGGTAAGTAATAGTAGGATTTGAACAAATGAAGGAAGGAAGGTACTCAAAGTGGTGAGGTCATGGTTTGGCTGGAGTGGAGGAACTGATACAGGGGAATGACAGACAGAACTATACTGAGTATCCTCTTCCCATTCTTTACCTGCCCTTCTCAGGAAAGTCCATGCTGCTCTCTGCTATTGGGAAACGGGAAGTGCCCATCCCTGAGCACATTGACATATACCATCTGACTCGGGAGATGCCCCCTAGTGAGAAGACACCCTTGCAGTGTGTGATGGAAGTCGACACAGAGCGGGCCATGCTGGAGAGGGAAGCTGAGCGGCTGGCTCATGAGGATGGTAGGGTTCCAGATCTAGGGGTGGGTGTGGGCTTCCTCCCAGGAAAGGCCCAGGGAGCCTCATGAGCCATTCACTGCCCGTAGCTGAGTGTGAGAAGCTCATGGAGCTCTACGAGCGACTGGAGGAGCTGGATGCTGACAAGGCAGAAATGAGGGCTTCCCGGATCTTGCATGGACTGGGTTTCACGCCTGCCATGCAGCGCAAGAAGCTGAAAGACTTCAGTGGGGGCTGGAGAATGAGAGTTGCCCTTGCCAGGTGAGTTCTTCCTCCTTCACCCTCTGTAGCTCCCCGTGTCCCTTAGGGTTGAATGCTTACTCCAGTGGAACTATTTAGAACAGAGGTCAGTGATCAGTAAGTGCCAGACAAGACATGACAAAAATACGATGTGAAGGGGGTGGAATGCTTGGGTCAAGGAGTGAACTTCCTGACCAAAGTGATCATTGTTGGATTTTTGTTTGAGAATCCTAGGATCAGCCCGAGGTAAGATGTTAAAGTAGGTCCATTTATTTCTTCCCGACTCCCATCCTATCTTTTTTTGTGATTTAGTCCTTCTAATCCTTGCTATGTAAAGATAAAATATTAGGCAGCTATTAAGAAATGTGTCCTTAACCCTCTTGTGACCTGGACCCAAAGCAAGTTTATATAGACGATCATTCCCTCAACAGTCCCCCAGAAAGTCCCCAGTTAAATAGGTGGCTTCCTCACCCCACTATTCTAAGTGAACTGGTGAGGTTTGATAACCTTTAGCAAGACTACCTATATATGCCCTAGACCATGAAAGCAGTGATTCCATGTGCTAGTAAGGATTAGCTACCTCTGGTTCACCTAGGGAGCTTTTAGAATTAGATTTCCTAGCTGCTTCTTTGTATCTGTGCAGTTGGAATACTGGAATTTGGTGCCTAGAAATCTTATTTCTAAAAAGCTCTGCAGTGTGGTTACTTGCAGGTATGGGAATCAGTGCTATCCCCTTGTTTCTGCTGACTGGGATTCCACCTGAGAACATTTTTTGGTCTTTTTGGTCTCCTTGCTGGCAACCCCATCAGATAGATTTAACTTGAATACTTTTTGCTTTGGCAATTTATTTCCTCTGTCCTTTTGTCTTCCCAATGGTCACCAACTTCAGCGTAAGACTTGGAAGACTTGTAAGGACTTTTATAACCTTATCATCTAACTGTACCATCCCTGTGCTTCTCAGCCCTGTTTTCTGCCCTTTCATCTCAGCTCTTCAGCTCTGGTTTGTCTCCTTGTTCTCCCCTTTCCTCTCAGGTATAGACCTAGAATTGATTTCAGGACCCAAGCCAGGCCTGACCAGGGTTGCAGGTAGCAGGCAAGGCAGTCCTTCCTGTGTAGCACCCAGCAGACTGAGGGGCTCTGTCTCCTTCCCTATCTTTCAGAGCCCTCTTCATTCGGCCCTTCATGCTGCTCCTGGACGAGCCCACCAACCACCTGGACCTCGATGCTTGTGTGTGGTTGGAAGAAGAATTAAAGACGTAAGGGGGTGGGGATGGGAGTTGGGAGTGGGCAGGTCCCCGAAGGGGTTGTTGAGCAGAGTCTAAAGGAAATGGATGCCTGGAAACCGCAGTAATAGGAGAGCAGTGAGAAAAGGAATTGATACAAGGCCAGGTGAAGGCCAGATTGAAAAAGTGGTAAGCACCTTTAGGGCAGGCCATTTTGTTTGATTGGTTATTTTTAGCCTGACATGTGTGAGTTGTTTTTTAATTTTCGTGGTTCTTCCCATTTAAAATACAACACCTTCATACTTCACACTTGTTTTTAGATAGTATCTTTCTCTTAACTGTATTTATATACATCATGTAAAGAGGGGACTCCTGCTTAAGGTCATGATGCAGTAGCATATGGCTAAAGAGCTGAATAACCTGGAATATTGAACCAACTCTGAGAGCAGGCTTTTAGTGGTCTCTGCAATCACTTGGTACCATCTTTGAAAAAGCAGAGTATGGTAATTTTCATCACACCTGTTCGGTTCTTCCCACCCACGGTTTTAGAGACATTCATGGATATGTTTGTATACATAAGCTTATTTTTACCATCACTGTTAAATCTCCATTCTGCTGAAAATTAAAACAGAAGAAACTCAGACTGAAAAAGCATCAAAGTGTCATTACAGATGGATTGTGCCCTGGTGGCCTGGGTGGTTGCTGGGAGCTGGGAATTGGCCGTTAAATCTAAAGAGTATTCAGGTGTAAGGATGGGAAAAGATGAAGGTTTTCTGGGTCTCTCAGTTGTGTTGTGGACCGTCAAGGTTTTGAGCACCTCCCTGACTCTTCTCCGGCTTTACAGTTTTAAGCGCATCCTGGTCCTCGTCTCCCATTCCCAGGACTTTCTGAATGGTGTCTGTACCAACATCATTCATATGCACAACAAGAAACTGAAGTATTACACGGTGAGTAGGCCCAGCTTCTCCACAGCAACCTCTCTACTTACCAGCTCCTTGAAGCTCTCCTTTAAAAAAAACAAAACAAAACAGACTTAGGAGCCGTTTTCTACCTATTGCTATAAAAAGATGTGGACAAGGAGTCCTGCAGCGTGTTCTATTTTAGTCTCAAAGTAGTTGCTCTCAGGTTGTAGGCCATTGATTGGCAGCCTGTGTACATGATGTGTGTTTGCCTTATGGTAAAGAGGCTGACTTTGCATGGTGCCCAGGCAGGCCCTACTGCTCCCTGCCTTCTTGAATAACTACTTGACTCTGCTTCACGACAGCACATTTACACCTCCTTCCATGGAGAATAGGAATCAGGATTTCAATAGCTCACTTTTCAGCCTTTTCATTTTCTGTATTTCAAAGAAAGAAAGAAAATAGAAATCCTTTTCATCTATACATACACTCACTATGGGAGTATTAATAATTTCTTACATAGTCTTCCAGAGATTTCATGTATACTTGCAAGGTTTTGTAGGAAATTTCATGTATACATATCACAGCTGTAGTGTTAATAATTGTTCTCTTCTGTAGATTGCTTTTACATTTTAGTATGTCTTGTAGTGCTATCCATATAAGTATGTATAGAGCAACCTCATTCTTTGCTATAATTGCCTAATATTTTATTGTGTAGCTATCTAGTAACTTATTTGTCAGGCCCCTTTTGATGAATATTTATGTCAAGTCCAATTTTTTTCAGTTATAAACCATGGCAGTCCAATTGTGCAGTGCTTGCTGGTCCTAAATCTGATTGGTCTACTGTCTTCCCTTCTGGGTGCAGTTTCTATAGCCTTTATGGGATTTCAGCCTCTAAGTGGGGTGAGGAGTGCTCTTGGAAGGCTGTGAGCCTCATGATACCCATATGGCAGTTGTGGTCAGGGCTACTGCTAGTGCTGTGGGTGTCTTTATGGCTAACCTGAGAATTTGATCTGGAGTCCTGCTCTAAGCTAAGAGTGAGGAGCATTCGATTTGAAAGATCTCAGATTCTAGGTTAGGGTATACTTTGTTAATGTACTTCCTCTTTCCCTACTGCACAGTCTTATACCCAGGGTCAAGTCAGATGCCATCCCACATCCCCCTAAACCCTGAGAACCAGGACTGAGGTTAAAGCTGCCTGCCTTGCCTGGCACATTTCTCTGCAGGGTAATTATGACCAATATGTGAAGACACGGCTGGAGCTGGAGGAGAACCAGATGAAGAGGTTTCACTGGGAGCAAGATCAGATTGCACACATGAAGGTAGAGCTGAGCGCACATTCTCCAGGGGAGAGTTGGATAAGGGTATTTGGGAAATTTAGGGGTGCTGGAAGTCAGGAAGAAGTTGTCATCAGTATTTACCCCACATTTAAGATGAGTCATTTTGCACCTGCTCATACTCCATGCCCCCTTTCTGGTCTCTTTCAGAATTACATTGCTAGATTTGGTCATGGCAGTGCCAAGTTGGCCCGGCAAGCCCAGAGCAAGGAGAAAACACTACAGAAAATGATGGCATCTGGACTGACAGAGAGGGTCGTGAGTGACAAGGTGGGTTCTCCTTGGGTAAAGTTAGTGCCCTAAGGTGAGGTGGATAAGACGCAACATAACTTAATAAATGCCCTCTTCTCTTCCTAGACTCTGTCATTTTATTTCCCACCATGTGGCAAGATTCCTCCACCTGTCATTATGGTGCAAAATGTGAGCTTCAAGTATACAAAAGATGGGGTGAGTACTACTGTGTGGTTGGGAGGCTGGGGTGCATTTTACAAGATAAGCTGGGAGAGTCAGGAATTCTCTGTGAACCCATGCACTAACCCACGCGATACACAGGATATTTCAGGCGTAGTAGCTTAGGTGCCTTGTCCAGGGTCTCACAGTGGCCCCTTTTCAAGTACTAGGAAAGAAAATTCCTCAGCTGAGTTGGTGGGTGGAGCAGTGATTTGGGATTGGCTATGAGAGCTACCTCCCTCCTCTGCACTCCCACCTCTGGTGGTGACTGGGAACATGGTGGGGTTGGTACAGCAGCCAGATAGATTAATGGATAACCTAGCCTCATATCGTCTCTCTCTCACACCCACCTCAGCCTTGCATCTACAATAATCTAGAATTTGGTATCGATCTTGATACACGAGTGGCTCTGGTGGGGCCCAATGGAGCAGGGAAGTCAACTCTTCTGAAGCTGCTAACTGGAGAGGTACAGTGTTAAGTTGGGCTGTGGGATTTCTAAGAGTAGGTGCTTACTGTGGGGAAGAGGGAGGGTGTGCAGGGACCACTACACTTGGAGGGTTCTGAGCACCCTGGTGGTGAGCGAGCTGGCTTCAGGGATGGGGGATGTCACTGACAATGCTGAAGTTTAGAGCTGTTTTCTTGGAGGGAGGGATGGGAGGATGTGTGTGTGAAAGAGTGAGTGAGAGAAAACATGCATGTGCCTTGACATTTTTTGTTTTCAGTTAGAGCATTTAGAGGAACATCTGCATTTAGAGATAGGTTTTTGTTTGAAAAAACCTATGTTGTATATATGTCCAAGGTGCGTTCTATAGCAGACATTTAATTACTAAGTAGATGGTGTTGTATGCATCTTGGCTTTCCCTTGAGAACATCTGTTTCAGTATAGCTTGCTAAATATTTTTAGAGTGGCCAGAGGTGATGATACAGGCTGTGAAGTGATGATACAGATTCTGTTTAGGAAGTTATACATCTTATTCAGTGAACATATGTTTATTTTCCTACTCTGCCTATGTCTGCTTTTGACTGTTTCCCTTACTATGTGCTTATCTTTCCACCTAATTTTTTTTCCTTTCTAGCTACTACCTACTGACGGGATGATCCGAAAACACTCTCATGTCAAGATAGGGCGTTACCATCAGGTAAAGTCCTTGGGGTATGGGATGGTGCCCAGGATGTGGGAAGGGGGCTGCATGTGACCAAGTCCGCTTTTGCTGACTTGAACAGGTACCTGGGTAGAGGTAGAGTTACTCAGCAGTTAACCAAGGAGGGTTCCTTTTGAAGTGGGACACTAGTCACATCTGAGTGGATTCTTTTTTTCTTGTAGCATTTACAAGAGCAGCTGGATTTAGACCTCTCACCTTTGGAGTACATGATGAAGTGCTATCCAGAGATCAAGGAGAAGGAAGAAATGAGGAAGATCATTGGAAGATATGGTCTCACTGGGAAACAGCAGGTCAGTAGGAGGGAATGTGGGGACAACCCCAGATAACTGGGAGATTGTGGCTAAGTGGTCAGGGAACACTGTCCTAGTGACCCGGGTTTGGGAACTATCCCAAAATCTCCCCCCGACCCCTTTATTTTTTAAAGTAGGCTCCACAGCCAACATGGGGCTTGAACTCATGACCCTGAGTTCAAGAGTTGTGTGCTCTACTAAAAAAGTGTCTTCCTTTGATTCTAGTATCCAAGAGAACCCACCAGCTTTCCTTTGCTCTAGTTACAGGTATTGGAGTATTGGGGTCTGTTTATGAGGGAGCGGCAGGGATAGCATGCCAGTCTCTAACATGCTGTTGCCCAGATTAGTGAGATGAGCCATAGTGCTTGAGGGTGAGGGAAATTGAAACTTGGAAAACGAGTTCCTGGAATTAAATTTGGATTGAGGATCCACCGGATTGCTCCACTTAGTTACGATTTAAGTGCCGAGAGGGAGCAAGAGGTCTGGCCTAAGTGATGGCAAGTGCTTCGGGCTCCTGCATTTGTCCCTTACAGGCCTGAGAGGCTGGTAGCTGTGTCACCATCTCACTCTGACCGGTGGAATAGTGATAGCTGTAACGGAGAAGCTGTGGGGAGGGGCGAGTCACGCGGTGTGGCTGGAGTAACACCGGTTCTGTAATATCACGGCCCCGCTCAGGTGAGCCCAATTCGGAACCTGTCCGATGGGCAGAAGTGCCGAGTGTGTCTGGCCTGGCTGGCCTGGCAGAATCCGCACATGCTCTTCCTGGATGAGCCCACTAACCACCTGGATATCGAGACCATCGATGCCCTGGCCGATGCCATCAATGAGTTTGAGGGGGGTATGATGCTGGTCAGCCACGACTTCAGACTCATTCAGCAGGTGAGGCCCCTGGCCGAAGCGGGAGTCTGAGCAGAGGGCATCGGAGAAGGTGGGCTGGAATGCAGCGCAGTGGGGGCACTTAAAGTGTATTGAATGTGGGAGGAGGTCTCAGGGCATAAGCAGCATCACGAGGACCAGATTTTGTGGCTCTCTGAGAAACTTAGAAACCCCCTATTGGAAATACTTTTTTTTTTTTAGTAGTTACTTGGGGATATTAATATGCCTGCTTGGCATTCGGCATCGTTAGCCAAAGTTGGTGAGGGAGTTGGGTCGAGAACAGGGTGCTTTTACCACTGCCCCAAGATTCTTCAGCACAGAAATAGCAGTATACTAAGGAGGATTTGGATTGGAGGGCTACCACCAGTCATTGCTGGAAAAGCTTCATTTCTCTGAAGCTTTGGGAAAGAGGAGGTGGAGAAAAAGCTGAAGGTGAAGCCTCTCAACAGATCTGGCCCTGCTGGGGAGCTGGAGATGAGACACAGCAGGTCCTGGCTTGGAAGTGTCTAGACCTGCTGCTTATAGTACCCTTGGGTTAGGCCTCCCAAAGAACCTAGAGACGGTGAAACTGTGAGCTGGATATGGGGCTGAGCGGTGGAAGTTTCTTCCTGGATTCGCCTGGCAGTGGTCTTCTGAGCAGGGACAGGGAGAGTGCTGCAGGATTATTAAGCCTAAGATTTGCTTTCTAGGTTGCACAGGAAATCTGGGTCTGTGAGAAGCAGACAATCACCAAGTGGCCTGGAGACATCCTGGCCTACAAGGAGCACCTCAAGTCCAAGCTGGTGGGCGAAGAGCCCCAGCTCACCAGGAGGACCCACAATGTGTGAGCCCCTGCCTGGGCTGGGCTGGGCCTCTGGGGCCACACTCCTGCATTGCTGCAATACCGCTCCCCAGCCCCCTCCCTGCCCCCACCTGCCTTAGCTGCACTCTGTGATCTTATCTACAGCTGGACAGTACCTGTCCGTCTCTTGTCCTTCCAGTTACTTTTGTCCATGTCTGGACTCGGCTGGCTGTTCTGCCAGCACCTTGCTGGTTACTGACCTGATAGTGATGCAGCCAGAGGCACCTGAGGGTTAGCCCAAGGGCCCACATCCTGGGTTGGCCTGTGAAAGAGCTTAGGGTCCTCGTCTGGGTTTTGGTGATGTTGGAGGAATACTCCCCAGCCCACCACCCCCATTCCTTTCTGCTTCTGGTTTGGAGCTCTGGACCAGGGCTTTAGTCCTGGTCGGTTTTTAAATAATTATTTAACAGTGTAACTTTTAGACCTGCGTGACATCTACAAAGTGTCCAATAAAGAAAGAAGAAGCCATGGTCCCTACCTTCCTTTTCTGGTCGCTGGGCCCTTCACTCCCCTCCTCCCTGCTGTGCCAACACACTTCCCCTCAGCAAGAGCTTGGGTGGAAGTTGGTAGGATGGATGCAGACTGTAGACTAGTCTTGAGCTGGAATAGCTCTCCTTCCTTTTGATTTGATTTGGAATTGTGCCCTGTCTTAGGCTATTGCCTCACCACACAGATCAGAATCACCTGGGAGACTCATTAGATTACCAATCACTGGGTCTTGCCTTCAGGGTTTCTGGTTCAGTAGGTCGGGGGTGAGAACAGGAATCAAAAAATTTCTAACAAGTTTTCAGATGCTGCTGATGCTGCTTGTCTGGGGGCTGAGGTTTAAGAACCACTCTTGTAGGACATGTTTTCAGAGTTGTGTGAAGCTCCCCTGCTGCAACCTTCACCACAACACTTGGAGAGGGTAGTGCTTGTTAAGATCCAGATTCCCAGGCCAGGACCTATTGGTTCCATTTGGTGGGGTGGGAGAGACACAGAAATGGCCAGGAGTCTGCATTTTCACACTGAGGTTTGTGAACCACTGTTGTCGGGTGGGTACAGGGAGTTTTGTAGTCTGTCCACAGCCTTAATTTTTGTTAGCATAATCTAATTTACTTCCCAGCCAGGGCTCTGCATGGTCCATCTGAACTTGACTATAGCTTGCAACCTTTGTCCACCAGGCACACCGATGGCCATCCGTACTGACGTGGATTCATCACACCACCTCAGCAGCCGTCCCTGTGGGGAAACATACACAGCCATGATTTTTTAGTGCTCATTACAGTACATTTAAGACTGTGTAAAACAAAAAACAGTCCCAGATGGTGTCTAAACCCCCCAGGGGCTCACGATCTAAGGGGAAGCCAACAATGATGAGAGAACACGACGGGGCATAAATCAGATGCTCAATTGTGACTTGTTAGGATACACAGAAGGAGTCAAAGGGGGGGAAGTTTCCAGAAAGGCCGGATAGGTGCTCTAACTTGAAAGATGAACAGGACCTCAGATGGCGCTGAAGTCCAGGAGCTTCCCTGGGCGGACGGAACGGTGAGAGGGAACATGAGGCAAGAAGCTACAGCTGAGGCCTAGGCAGCCAAGGCAGGAGTGAGGCTCCATCCGTCTCCTGCCCTGCGACCCCAAGGGACCTGGCTTTGTTGCTCTGTGCCTTATGTGCCTAACTCTGCTCTGAGCATCCAGAGACTTAGGTAGCAGGGAGAATGGCCTGGAGAATGAGCTGCAGGGGTGATGGGAACAGAGATGAGCACTCCTGCTACTTTAGCCAAGGGAAATCCTGGCTATGTCAGTACCAATTCCCTTTAAAATCCCTCAGGGTCTCTAGGGTAGATTACATGAGGTGCGAAGGCTCCTGAACTGGAGGAATTAAAGTCGGCTGTTCAGCTTGTTGCCCCCTTCCCGAAAAAAGCCAATTTCAAAAACTTTTAAGAATGCTTCAGGAACCACTATATATATGTTTCTACAAAGGCCTAAAATTAGCAGTGTTTTATTTTGGATTACGAATTCCCTCCTAGTCCTCCTGAACCTGAGCACGTAAGACACAGCCAGATGTCAGGAAGTGGGTGAAAAGCTGAGGTTACTGAGGTGTTGGTTGCTCAGGCTTGCGGTTCCCCCCTCCCTCCTGCCCCCACCTGGCAGGTGATGCTTATCTTCACTTCAGCCCACCTCTTCTTGATTGGGAAAACCCTCTTCTCCCACCGTGCCCCCCGCCCATACTTCTCATGTTGCTCTAGGTTTCCTTAATCACAGCACTTAAGAACCTGAAATACCATTCACACATAGGTGCAAAGTGAGAACTACTCTGTCGAACAGCTGCCTCTTCCTTCCAGCGAACTCGCACGGGGAGCCCACGTCACCGACTCTTCTGGAGAGCATCCAGTGTCTCTGCACAGGCTCCCCCAGGCTGCCCACACCCCTCCCAGCCCGTGGATTCCTGCCGCCTACGTCTGGTCTAGGCCCCCGGTCTGCTCCACTTCTGCCTTCCATCCAAGCCTCGCTCTACTCCACTCTGCTTTTCACACAAATTCTCCCAGGTTAAACTGTACGCCTCCTACAAGATCGGTGTCAAGTCACTACTCCTTCCGTGAAGCCCTCTCTGGCTACTATAGCCCTCACCAGTGTTTCTTTTCTGAACTCTCTGCCCCTATGCCCCCTCCGCTCTGCTCTTTCACATGAGCCAGTCTGGCCTCTTCAGCCATATTGTAGGGCTCTGTGGGTAGGGCGTAGGGTGCCTTGTGTTCCTCCTGACGCTCCCCTGCATTTCAAGTCATGCTGAGCACAGTGGGTGCAGAGTGACCTCGTGGTGTGGTTTGGTGGAATGTGAACTTTCCCGAGTGTGTAATACGCTGGGTGATGATCACATTGGGGAGAGGCCTGGGGAGGGCTTCTCATTCAGAGACAGGAAAGCACTCAGGGGAGAGGTGGAAGCCATTAATCTCTTGGAAGATGAACCCAGAGCATGTTCTGGATAAAGATGGGCCAAGCTCCTCCCTCCTCTCCCACCCCCTCCATCCCAGGTGCTGGCCCCCAGTCCCACCTGGTGGGCAGCTGACTCCATAAAAGTACCCCAAGGAGCAGGAGGCAGCTGTTAGGAGGAGCAGGAGGATGGGCGCTGAGCATGGGCAGCAGCCGCAGTCCGGGGGCCGCAGGGGCCGTGGTTCTGGCGATAAGAAGTCCAAAAAGCGTAGCCGGCGCAAGGAAACCTACTCGATGTATATCTACAAGGTGCTAAAGCAGGTGAGAGTGGGGAGGTAACGTGTGTGCACAGGTATGCGTGTGTGTGTGTGTGCGTGTGTCTGTAGTGTACTGGCCAAAGAGCCTTGAAAAGGCACTGGACAGAAAGTCATACTCTATATGCTCCTGGCCTTGCGGTGTGTGGCCTCAGGCACACTGTGTCCCTCTTGAGGTGGTTGCACTTGATCTCAGAGGTCCCTACTCCCTCTCACAGATGTTGTGCACCTGTGAAGTGCAGGAGGCATTTAAAGCCCGCCACCACGGTCCAGAAGTTTACAGGGCTTTGAACAGACCAAATGATTATATGGAACATTAGGTGGGCTGTAATTAAAAGGGAAGACCACAAGAAAGTGTGGGGCTGAAGGGTGATTGGATGCCCAACACATTATGGTACAAATGAGAGGTACTGGTTGCTAGCGGCCAGAGCAGGGAGCAATGCGCATGAGCTGAAGACGGGGAAGGCCTTCCAGCCACACAGCTACTCAGTCACTGAGGGGCAAGGGGATTGGTCGACTCTACAGATGGACCTAGGATCCCTAGAGGCTCCATGCATTGCTGAGTCACATGACCTGGTAGCAGCAGAGGGCAGGGACCCCCCCTCCCTCAATCAAGTGGCCCCTCCCATACGTACCGCCTGCTTGTCCCACCTCTTGACCCACAGGTGCTGTGGGTGCTCTCTGCTCATGCAGCCTACCAGAGCACCCACGAGAAGTACCTACTCCCAGCACTTGCACACTGCCAAATATTTTCAGGCATTCAGGTACCCAACAACAGTGTGTCAAGGACACACGGCACTCTGACCTCAAAGCGTCTACCCCACTCAGCAGAACCAGGGCCAGGGGCCAGCAGAACAGCTATGTTGTGTGGCCTGAGTCTGCCCCCTGGCCTGAGCTTTATCTTTTTGTTAGAGTAGATCCTTACACATGGAGCCTCTCTCTGGTCTGAATCCCATCACCAGTGCCAGTGACCTGACAACCTGGGTCTCTAGGAACGCTCTTGTGGGGGCAGGACCAGCACTGTTGTGGACTGACCCAAAGGGAGCAGCAGGGGACAGGCTCCAGTGTCCAGAAGCATGTGGGATGGGGTGGGGTGGGAGGAGCAGCTTAGCCTAACCTTGAGGCACAAAACTTGGGAGGGGAGGGTTGGCCCTGGGTCAGCCTGGCAACAGAATGCTGCTGAGCGAGTTCCGCATGGACTGTGAAACTTAACACCCCGGGACCCCAAGAGAAAAAGATGTGATGACAGCACAAGGGGTGTAGGCTCAGATCCCTTGCTGGCAGTGACAACCAGAGGCTGTGGGGAGAGCCCGAGTTCTCCTTCTGTCTCCACCACTGGCTTGATGTGTGTCATTGGCAGTTTCCTCTCCCACTTCACGGGGAAACACTTCCTGGGGAAACACTTCACATCTGCCCACTGACATGTTAGGATTGTCACCAGGCCCAGGGGAAAGTGCCTTATTTGAATTCATTCAGTGATTCACTGTACCGCCACAGATCCCAGGTGTTCTGACTCCCAGTCTGGTGCTGAGATTGTGTCCTAGGAGTGTGTCCTCCGGACAATAATTTGGTAATAATCTGCCAGGTTAAGTGCATAAACCCTTGGACCCAGTGGCAGTCCCACCTCCGGGAACCTCACCCCTCGGAGTCCCTTTCTAGGAGTAATGCTGTCCAAATACACTAGATGAGAAAAACAAAATCAAAGATCGATGCTTACATGTGCTCATACAAGGAACTTAAAAGCATCACTGTTTACAGTTGGAAACAACTTCTAACCTGGATGTAGTAATAAAAAAACCCAATCCCTATTTCTGTGTCTTGGCCTCTAGAAAGAGGCTGCTGAGGCAGCCCTGCAGCCTCCTGCAGGCCAGAACTTAGAGCTGGGGCTTGCCGCACCGGACAGAGCCACCTCATTAACAGAGTGGTCCTGCTGCTTCTCTAGGTGCACCCGGACATCGGCATCTCTTCCAAGGCCATGAGCATCATGAACTCATTTGTGAACGATGTGTTTGAACGGCTGGCTGGCGAGGCTGCCCGGCTGGCCCAGTACTCGGGCCGGACCACACTGACATCCCGGGAGGTCCAGACAGCGGTGCGTCTGCTGCTGCCCGGAGAGCTGGCCAAGCATGCTGTATCTGAGGGCACCAAGGCCGTCACCAAGTACACCAGCTCCAAGTGACCCAGGGCCTTCCATTAATAAAGAGTGAGCTGCTCCCATGTGCTGTGGTGATTTGAAAAGGGGAGGTTGATGGGGGGCAAGGGTATCGACACTTTTTAGGGCTACGGGGTAGAATCGTACTTATTCATACTTTTTAAATACTGCCTTCTGAGTGTGCCCCACGAGCAACCTGTAACAGTGCTTTGTAAATGTGCAAAGTTCTGACTGGTAACGAGCTCTTGTAGGACTTGGGATCAGGATTAAAATCCCTGATCAGCTGTGTGTTAACTCTTTCAGGCCATAGTTTTGTGATGCCATTCCTGGCAAAATACCATTTTTGTCCTGTGTTGGGCACGGGGGCTACATGGATCTTACCCTACAAGATACAAAATGGAAGGCTTCTCAATAATCTGGGATCTATCGGATGTTTTTATTTTCCTCTAATGTTTTCTCCTTCCTAAGTTCAGAACAATTAGGAATATTTGAGACTCTTCTTTTTCCCAAACTTTTAATTTTTTTTTAATTTTTAAAAAAGATTTTATTTACTTATTCATGAGAAACAGAGAGGCAGAGGGAGAAATGGGCTCCTCGCAGGGAGGCCAATGTGGGACTTGATCCCGGGACTCGGGGACCATGAGCTGAACTAAAGGTAGACACTCAACTGGGGAGCCACCCAGGCATCCCTTCCCAAACTTTTTTTTTTTCCTTCCCAAACTTTATGTTGAAAAAAATCTCAAACCCACAGGAAAAAATGCAAGAAAGTACAATGACCACTTGTATATCCTTCGCCTAGATTCACCACTTAACATCTGATCACACTTGCTTTTTCTCTCTCATTCGGCCTCTGCTCTATCCTGTGGATGTATGACTCACAGAGTCTCTCCTAAGCTGTGAGGGGATGGGCTGAAGTGGTTGCATTCAGTGAACAAGCCCAAAGTCCTTTATCTTCCCTTTGCAACTGGACAGATGGAACTTGTCCCCTTCGACTTCATGTACTGAATAGGCTCACTGTGGTGGTGGCTGGCATTTGGATGCAGTCCTGTATGCTACACATGGCTTTTTCTCGTAGGCCAAGCCTAACCTGGAGATGCCATGGGAGGAGAACCAATCACCCACATTGTAGTCCCACAGCTAGAAAGGGGAGGGCCCAGTGGATCTGGCCCCTGAGCCTTGGCTCTTCCCCACTCCCACTGTGTTTCATACCTTGCTAAGGTGTGACCCAAGAGACCCAACTCAGATCGGGGAAATTATTTTTTTAATGTATTTTTTAAAAGACTTTATTTATTTATTTATTTATTCATGAGAGACACAAAAAGAGAGGCAGAGACACAGGCAGGGGGAGAAGCAGGCTCCATGCAGGGAACCCGATGCGGGACTCGATCCCGGGACTCCAGGATCATGCCCTGGGTTGAAGGCAGGCGCCAAACCTCTGAGCCACCCAGGGATCCCAGATCAGGGGAATTAGAATCTACATTTTTGACAAGATCTCTGGTAGTTTGCACACACACGAAAACCACAGAATTCGTCATCTCTGGCTCCTCTTTGCTGCTCTCACCTTTCTCTCCCTTTCCTTTGCCCTGTGTCTTATACGTCCTTGCTTAACATGGAATCAAAAAGATCATCCCCAGCTGACCAGTCAGGTGCTGCTGCGATGTTTTGTATTGTCCAAAGATTGGTCTCCTGAGCCCATTAATCATGATGGAGTAACCCACAGATGGCTCAGAATGAGCCCCAAAGACCACTGGATCCCATCCACTGCTCTAAGGTCATTCTTTACACTGCATGGTTTACGTGAATCACATAAAGTGTGATCAGACCCCAGGGAAACAGGCATGCTTGCGCTTATCTCAAGGGAAAGTTGTGACTTTGCAGCCTGAACCCCGACCTTCCGACCCCAACTCCAGTGCCCTGTCCCCCTCACACCACACCTCCTCCAGGACAGTCATCAGTAAGAGCCAAGAAGGCTGGCTCTGCATTAAGGAATGTTGAGAAATGCAGCTGGAGAAATGAATGCCTTTAGAACTTACATCCACTCAGAGCCTCATAGCTCACAGGGTGACTTCAAATAGCAACCACTCTTTTATTTGATCCTCAAAAGCAAAGAAGCCACAACTGACCCCATACTCTGCCCTTGCCTTCCGAGGCTTGCTATGGGAACATCCTCCAAGGTTAAGTGTCCCCAGTCCTGTACCTGCTGCCCCCTCCCCTCACAGCCTTAGAACATTGGGACAATGGGACAGAACTCTTAAAACTGGGCTGTTCTGGCTTTGGGGGGTGGAGTCAAGGTGGAGTCACAGTGTCTGTGGATTGCATGACCAGCTCACCAAGGGAAGTGTGCGAAGTGGGCAGCATGTCTGAGCAGTGAGTGAGAAGCAGGGCTGAAGCCCCCAGGGCCGGGAGAACAAAGGATAAAGTGCCTCCCTGGTCCTGTCAGGCTGGAGCAGGGGAGGGGCAGAAGGGATGCTGGGGCAGCCCTGGCTAAGCCTCAGACGTCCACACAGCTGCTAGTCTAGCCTGTGGTACGCTTGCCGTCTTCAGTCTTTCCTTGGACTACTTATTCCAGAATCAGTCTTCTCCACACTCACACCTCACCCCTACTTCCCACTCAGCATTCTAGACTACTGTAGCATCCGTGGGCTGCACCCTCTCCCTGGAGGACCGATTATGGACTCCAAGAGGCCCTTTCCTCACAGGGAGCCCTAAAAGGCCATGCCCATCCTTCATCCTCCTTGCTAATCTGTGGATGCCCTCCTCCCAGTGATCCCAATCTCCCTTAGCGTACACTTTTGGAACCCCAGGTTCACGGTCCTCGGAAGGCTCAGCAGTCCCCCACCCTTCCAGGCTGAGGCTCCAATCACCCCAGGCCTCCTCCCCCCACCCCGCAGAGCTTACCAACGCCTCTGGGATTCCTCCCATGTGACCCTGCAAGAGCTGCTGGACCAAGAGCTGCCCCTGCTCGAACCGGTGCCCGACAGGGAGCGCCAGTCCTTCCATTACAGGCTGTCATCGCTCTACTTGTACTACCTGGGGCTGCTGCGCCGGTTCGACACCCTCTACGACCAGATGGTGCACCCGCAAAAGCGGAGGCTGCTGCGGCGCCTGCTGGATGGCGTGGCGGGCCGCGTGCTGGAGCTGAAGGACGACCTGGTGCGCACCGACTTGAGCGAATACCACTGCCTGGACCACGTGCTGCAGGACCTCAAGCTTACCCCGGTAGGAGCCCCACCCACCCACCCCTGCCCCGCACCGCCCACTCCAGCGGGGGGCGGAGCGAGGTGGTGGCCTTTACCTCCCTCCACCCAACACTAACACGGAGCCACGCCTCCAGCACCTGGGGCCGGAGGGCCAGAGAAGCTGGAGGGCAGCCCTGGCCTTGGGACCTCTGCCAGGGATGGGGGACCCGGCAGATCAGGGGATGGATGGGGTTTGATTTGGGAGAAGGGTTTCAGGAAGAGGAGGTGTGAACAAGTAGTTGAAGGAGTGGCCCAGGAGTCAGGCTGGAGGCCCCCAGGGGCTGGGAATACCCACCAACCACAGGGCATTGGTGAAGACAGTCCCCTAGAGGTTTGCTTCATAAAGTGTGGTTCTAGGACCAGCAACACCAGGACCACCTAGGACTTTCTTGGAAACGCAGACTCTCTGGACCACAGGTCCAACCCAGGAATCTGCTTCTGCATTTTAACAAGCCCCTCCGTGATGCAAATGCCCTGGTCAGCTCCAAAACAGAGCTTCTGCACAGGCCTCCAGCCTGCCCCAAGGGCATGGTTCACTGCTCCACATCTGAAGCAGTCTCCAGGTTTCCAGACCAGCTGCATCAAACTCAGCTATGAACTTGAAAAAACAAACTAACAAAAACAAGTTCTCCAGACCCCGCCATTCTGGGAAGCACCTAGGAGTCTGCATTTTAAGAGCTCTCCAGTTGATGCTGATGCAGGGTCAGGATCAGAACCACTGCCCATTACATATCATGATCCTCCAGAATTCAACTCCTGTTACATGGTGGGGCAGGGGAATAGAGGGATGATCTTAGGGGGAATCTGCCAATAACCCATAAATCTCCCACCCCAGGGCTCTAGGATGAAGGAAAGAGCATCACCAGGGTCTGTGTGAGAGCTGAGAAATCAGCCAGATGGCTTGGATCTTGAGTCCTGACCCTCTTTCCCCATATTGCCCCAAAGGCAGACCTGGAGGTTCCAATCCCCAAATACTTCCTGCTGGAGCAGTCCACCATTCTGAAGGAGCGAGGGCTGATGCTGGCAGAGATCCTGTCCAGAATGGGACCAGTGACCTCCAAGACGGTAAGTCAAGGAGACACCCTCCCAGATTCCTCTCATACACCCCTCCCAGAACAGAGATGCCATCTTCCAGGACACAGAGAGGACTTGCCCTGCCCTACACCCACCTTAGGGGGCTCTTTGGGTAATCCCTAGCCTGCTTCAAGGATGGTCTCGTACTCCTTGAAACTTTCTGACACCACGATAGAGGACAGGACTTGGGCATGTAGATGCTCTAGGAGGACCACGTACCTAGCATGTCCTTTGGTGGATGGTCTCCCAGCGGCTAGCCTGGAAACAAGCCCTCTTTCATCTTCTGCCCCTTTGTACCTGCTGTGGCCAGAGTTTTCCAGAAATGCACCGGACCAAGGCCATAATCCTGCTGCAAAGGGCTGAGAGGGCCAGGCAAGGCCGGCTCCGAGCCACCTTCATGCGAGAGATTCGGAAAGAGGAAGAGCGGGATCGGAAGATTCGAGAGGAAGGTTGGCACAGGTTCAGTCAGGACCAAGCAGCTATCATCATACAGAAGGTAATCCCCCAGCACCCAGGAGGAAGGTCAGGGTTGAGTCACCTCTTCCTTCCTTCCAGAAGACTGCCTAGCTCAGCAATTGAGGACAGAGGGGAAGGTGCTTGGATTCTGTTGCCCCATAACTAGATCCTAAACTGGGGGCCTAATCAGTTAATAACCCTGTGTCTTGCTTATTTATTATTTATTCTACATCTCTATCCCCAAAAGGACTTGAAGTGGGATATCATAAAAGCCCCAGAAACAGAAGCAGCATTAAAATTAGGGGAGAAAGGGGATCTCTGGGTGGCGCAGCAGTTTAGCACCTGCCTTTGGCCCAGGGCGCGATCCTGGAGACCCGGGATCGAATCCCACGTCGGGATCCCGGTGCATGGAGTCTGCTTCTCCCTCTGCCTGTGTCTCTGCCTCTCTCTCTCTCTCTCTCTCTCTCTGTGTGACTATCATGAATAAATTAAAAAAAATTAAAAAAAATTAGGGGAGAAAGATCCATAATAAGGTTGCAGAACAGAGTAGATGATCATTCTAAAAATTCATAAGACTGTTAAAGATGAGTCACTAAAACGGAGTCTGAGAGTCCTGGCAGCTGCAGTAAAAGGAATCATGATGAATGGAACAGAGTTTGAGAACTGATGTGATCCAGATGTCCTCAAGGTCTGTGCCAGCTGGGTCACCCTTTACCATAGAAATAGTGTAATCACATCCCTCACCGCCCCCACCACTGCTGAAAACCCAACCCCATCCCTAGGTTTCCCTGTGCCTTCTTACCATCCGGGTGGTCACACCTCTCCTCTGCTCTGGACGGCCATTCCGCCATTCCGTACCTCTTCTCGGCCCTTGCTATGCACCCATGTGTGGGTATGTGGCCTCTCTCATCTCTGAGTCCTGCTGACACAGGCCTACTCTGTTGGGTGGTGGTTACCACCTTAAGGAGACCAGAAGGGCCTTCGGAAAATTCTAATGCAGAAAGGGAACCCTTTGCTCCTGCAGCATAATAGCTTCTGAGGTCCACTGCCCTGCCCTGTTGCAGGACATCTCTTTGCCACCTTTTCCTTCCAGAAGCAGGCCTAGGACTGATCTTTTAGTCTCTCCCAGCTTCTTTCTCCAGCCTCAGTGCTTCTGGAACTGTTTGCTAGCCCGAGGGAGGAAACTTAGAACTCCTTTCCACCAAAGCCCAAAAGCAAACCAAACAATTAACAAACTGCATCTCAAGAAGGATAGATTTTTATATTTCTAACAGTACAGAGAGCATGCAATCTGAGTCCCCTGCATCTGGGTGACTGTACCAATGTTGGACTGGCCCACGGATGAGGAGGAGGCCCTGCCCACAGGGCGTGCTATAAAGCAAGCCCTTCCAGAAGGAAAGTCAGCCCCAAAGAGAGAGCCCCACTTCTCCCCTAAAAGCCAGAGCAGGTTTTTTTCCCTGTTGCCAGACATCGAGAATGTGGAAACACAGCAGACACAGAGACTGCACACTGAGGCTCTGTGATGGAAGAGAACCCACCGGGCCAGGCCCTGGCACTGCCTCCCCCTCCCCCTGCCCATGCCCCACCCCTACCTCCACCCCACTAGTACTGGGCTGTCCACGGGGGCTGAGAGCGGCTGGAGGCCTGGGAGAAGAGCGCTGCGCAGGGAGTCAGGAAACCTGGCCCTGTCTCAGCCCTGCCCTAATGGGCTCTTAGACCTGAGAGAGGCCATGTCCTATCTCCAGCCTCGGTTTCCTTGGGTCGAAAAGGTAGGAATTTATCAGGGGAGCTCCAAGGTCCTTACAGCACCCATATCTATGTGCCCAGGTGGGGTGGGGGGGAGGGAATCAGATGTGTATTCCAAATGCTGTGGGGATTCTGAGAAGTGAGAGTGGGAGTGCTTCTTGAAGAAGGTGGTATTTGAACTCTGAAAAGATACAGCAGATTAGAGGGTGAGGATGGGAAGGAAGGAATTCCTAGGGGCCTGGAGGGAGCAAAGCCTTGGAGCTGTACCGTATGGGTGCCTACCCACCCCACTGTGTTCTAGGCTGCTCCTGCTCAGGAAGCCACTTGCCCACGAACTGCCATGGGAGGTATCCCCCTCAGCACTCCTCCCCCGCTTCCCACCCCAAAGCTCCCCTGGCCAGGCCTTTCCTTGCAAGTGGTGGGTGCTTCTCCCTGGGGCTGATCCCATGGACTGCATCCCTGCAGAAATGCAGTGTGGGGAGTGCCTGGGCCCACATGTTTCCCCAGGTGTGGAAGGGTTACTTGCAGAGGAAGCGTACTCAGCATGATCGGTGGACAGAGATGGAGTTCATTGGCATGGTAAGGTCCCCTGCCTGGCCCCAGGCAGGGCTCAGGGTGGGCTAGTGCATGGGGTCTCCATCCCTCTTTTTTGTCCCTGTACCCCCACCTCAGAGTGACACCCTGGACAGCCCCTCACTGCCAATGCCTCCCTCCACTCAGGATTGTGCTTGGTGCAGGTGGAGGGGCTCAGGCCAGGGAACCTTGGTTAAGAGATCCTTCAGGATTTGAGAAGGAGAGGGAAGGACCAGAAAGCTACCACCAAGCCCCGTCCCTTTCTACCCTCTGTAAAACCCTCAGAAGGATCTTACATGTGGGGCGGGATGCAGGATAGTAGCACAGAGCCTCCTGGACCTCATGTTCATGCCCTGGGCTGGAAGGAGAGGCTGAGCGTGTGTGCCTAGCAGAGGAAGGAGGCCACAAGGCTAGTAGGAACTGCCACCCCCTTGCAGGGCTCTTACAGCCTCTGGGAGAACCCCGGGGCCAAGGTGGGATGGGGGCATATCCCTTTCACAGCAGTGTTTCAGGCCACAGTCTCCCCACTTGCTCTGAGGGGCCCAGATTGGCTTCTCCTCCGCTATGCTGGGCATAGGGCTAAGTTTTACCTGTGAGCATGGGTGTGCCGGCAGGGGAGTGTGCGGGGTAAGAGGGGATCTCCAGCACATGTGCAGGTGGGGTGATCCCACTGAATGACATCCATCCCTACCTCTCTGATGGATCTTACATCTGGCTAGTCTCTGCCAACTTAGCGAAAGGAAGCCATGGTGGGGGTGAGGATTGTGATCCCTGAAAGGGAGCTTGGCAGTGGGCTGAGCCTGTGAAGGCCTCCTGATAGGGGGAGTTGGGAAAAGCCGGCTGGGACAGCAGAGGGACCAGAGGCAAAGGCTGAGGTGGCTCCATTCCAGGAGGCCTGAGGGCTTCAGAAGGAAGGAGGGACTGGAGCAGAGGTCAGACCTGGGGGGTTTGGAGAGCTGGACCCCCAGGAGGCAAGAACAGGCAGAGGGAGGCCAGGGTCGGGCCTTGGGGGGGATCTGAGGGGAGGCATGGCATGGTGGTGGGTGAGGAATGAGCCTGGCCACCCGGGCCCATCAACAGTGTGAGCTCAGCGTTTTCAGTAATTGTCTCTGCGCAGAGTGATATTTAAAATACATTTGGGAGCCAATGAGGCGGGAAAGTGGCTGCGAGAGCGGCTGCCAACACAGGCCGCTGGGGCGGGGGTGTGGGTGGGGGCTGGGGCCCGAGGCTTACAGGGGAGGGTGTGCTGGGGGGACCGGGCAGGGGGGCCAGCCCAGATGCATCTAGCAAACTCATTATCAGAGTAATTTACACAGGCGAGTTTTGGCTCCAAACACAATTTCTCCTGATGCAGGCATGCCCATGCCTGTCGTTCCGCGTAGGCGTGTGTGCTGTGGAAGGAGGGGCAGGTGTGTGTGCCTGAGGCTCCCTGCTTCCAGCCCTGAGTCCTCCGGCCTCTCCTTCCCTGGGCCAGCTCCACTCGGCTCACCAGGTGAATTTGCGTGTCATGTATCAAGCCGGCCTGGGGGAAGATATCGGCAGGCTCCGCCAAATAGAGAAGGAGGAGGAGTTCCAGGTGGCAATGGTGAAGACCCACGATGTCCTCAGGGAGACAGAGGGGCCTGACATGAAGGAGAAATTGAAGGAGCAAATCCGACAGTGGTTTATCGAGTGCCAGTCAGTGTCTCCAGCCTCAGCTGACCCAACCTTCAACCCCTCTTTCTCTCCTCACCACAGTGTCCCCACACCTGTCCTGTGCTCCAGACTGGGCCCTTCTCTCTATCCACTCCCATCCCATTCACTCACTGCTTACACACCTGACTTAAACCTGGAGCCCTCAACCTATAGGACCACCTCTGCCCATGACTTTTCATTTCCCCTGATGGAAGAGAAATGCCAAAGCCAGATGGGGAAAGCATCCACGGGTGCTCCCTGAGGAGCCTCTCCTTTCTAATTTGTAATTCTCTGTTCCTTCCCTCTTGTCCTCCATCCCCATAGTCCTTTTTCTTTCTTCATCCTTCCCTCTATTTAACTATCCATCCATTCACCCACTCTTCTACCCATCCATCCACCTACCCATCCACCCACCAGTCCATCCACTCATCCCATCCACTGTCTACCCATCCATCCATCTACCTATCTACCTATCCACCCATCTAACCATCCATCCACCCATCTATATACCTATCCATCCATCCATCCATCCATCCATCCATCAAACCCATCCACCTATCCATCTAACCATCTATCCACTCAACCATCTATCTACCCATCCATCCATCCATCCATCAGTCCGTCTACCCATCCATCCATCTATATATCCACCCATCTAACCATCCGTCCACCCACCCATCTATCTACCCATCCATCCACTCATCCATCCATCCATCCATCCACCCATCCATCCACCCATCCACCTATCCATCTAACCATCTAACCATCCACCCACCCACCCATCTATCTATCCATCCATCCATCCATCCATCCATCCACTCATCCATCCATCCATCCATCCATCCACCTGTTCATCTCTCTGACCATTTTATGTTTACTTAGTGCCCTTACTGGTCGGTTCCCTGATTATCCAGATGAATCTTTAGGTGGATCCTATCTGATCTTTGCAGACAAGACTCCAGAACAGGTACCCTATAGTGGGCACAGGAGACTTTTTGTGGTAGGTGGGGGTCTAAGTTTATAGACAATAGTTAGCGTAAACTGAGGGTGGCAGTGGGATCGGGGGGAAAGATCAGCTCAGTGGAAGCAGATGTGGCTGGAGGAAATATATATAGCTAGCAAGCCTGCTGGGGAGGGGAGTGCCTGTGTCTGGAGAAGACTTCTGCCAGGGAGAGAAAGCATGTCTGGTGAGATTCTTTGTGGCCCCAAACCCCCATGGGCCAAGAAAGAGCAGCAGCTCTGATCAGAACACTTGATTCTAAAAAAAAAAAAAAAAAAAAAAAAAAGAACACTTCATTCTTCCTGGACCCCTGTGAGGTATCTGGACCTCGCTAGTGACCCTAGTCTACCCCCATCTCGGGCCTGGCTTCTTTTGCTCCTGTAGAATCCCACTGGTCTTCTCTGAAATGTCTTCCATCATTGGTCACAGGTAAAAATGGAACTGGAGGTGCAGGCCCAGGAGAGCAAAAAAAAGAACCAAGAGAAAAATAAGGAAAAAGAAAATGAGAAAAAAGAGAAGAAACAGAAGAAAGAGAAGGGTAGGAAGAGGGTAAGACACCTCCTGGATATGCGGACCAAGTGGGCAGGGGGACAGAGTCTGAGGAGATTCTGGGTGGGAGGCTGGTCTGAGAAGAATAAGGGTCAGAGACCATGGGAGGGGGTCAAGATCAAAGGATATTTCTATTCTAGGAAGCAGACACAATGCTGAAAGCATGGCCATCCAAATTTATACCTGTGATTAATGCCGGACATGAAGAGTACATAAGTAAGAAGGGAGGGGGTTGGGGAAGAGTAGCCAGGACTTGTGAGGGCCTTCGGGTGACCCTTGGTCCTGGGGAAAGGGGAGCATGCTATGTGTCTCATGAGTTGGTAGTGTGGGTGTGTGGATGTGTAGGCTGAGGGGAGACTGCCAAAAGGAGACAGAGTGTGGAGTGTGATTCCCTGGGTGGGAGGAGTTATGCCTTTGATCCGAATCCTGTACTAACAGGCCTCGGGATCAGGCCTCTGGGGTCTGGGTAGAAGCAGCGCCAGTCAGCCCTGTGAGGATGGAGGTACCAGCCTGGCTCAGATCCCTGGCCAAGTGTGTGTGAGTGTGTATTTGTAAGCTTATGCACACACGTTTGTGTGTGTGTGTATGTGTGTGTGAGAGAGTGTGTCCTGGGACTCTGAACTTCATTTCCCAGTCTGTCTGTCCATGGTTAGATATGTGGAAGAACCAGCATGAGAGTATACACCCGACTCAGAGTTTTGACCCCGAGGCACTCAGGGTGGAGAAGAGGAAGGAAGTAGAGGAGGAGATCCGGATACAGGTGAGCAGCTGCCTCAGGGCCTCCCTGCAGCCCTCCTCCCTCCTCTCCCCCAGCCTGGGCCTCTGCTGCTTCCCCTCATCCTCCCTCCCATCCTCAGGCCCCTGGCCTGCCCCCTCCTTTGTAGCTGCCTCCATGCTGCCTTTTCTAGCTCCACCTCCATCCATCTCCATCCCCATCCTCCTCTGTGGCTCTCTGGTCCCTCTCTCCCTGGGGTGCAGACAGGCTCTGAGCCCGAGCGGTCACACCCACCATCATGCCCATCAGCTCTTAAGGACCTCCTGCTATGTGGCTGCAGGGCATACCTTGGAAATATTCGATCATGTGACCTTTCCAGCACCCTGAGGTGGGTGCCCTGATTTTCCTGACGTGAGAAAATAGGCTGACATGTTACTCAACTGCTCACATCACACAGAAACAAAAGGGTGGGTCTGGGGCTTGAACTGAAAGTCAACTGAGTCCATCCTGGAGCCTATCCCTTCCTTGGTGCCAGGTGGGGGCAAGGGTGAGCAGGATCTGGAATGGGAACTGGGTGTGGACCGGTGCAGGGGCAGGGGCGAGGGGAGAAATGCAAAGCTTCAGGTTCTGGAAGAGTGTCTAGGAAGGTTGTCTGTGGACACCCATACTGCCTTCTCTGGGCTAGTCTCGCTCTTCTCTGAGGTTGCTCTCCTCCTGTCCACCCCTGCCCCAGTCCTCACCCCTCCACCTGTCCTCTCCAGCCCCTGGCTGCCCTACCACACTCCCTGCGTCCCCCCAGGTTGATGAGCTGATGCGTCAAGAGCTGAAGAACCTGTACCTGGCTGTGGACAGGGAGGAGGGGAAACCCTTGAAGCCTCCGAAGGCAAAATGAGGGGCTAAGGCCGGGACAGGAAGGGGCACACAGTGGGGGAGACGAGGAACAGAGGACAACTGCCCGATTGCCCATGTGCTTGTTTCCGACCAGAAAAAGGCTGGGAAGAAAACTGGGAAGAAGAAGAAGGAAAAAGATCTGACCCCAGACAGGTAGCAGACCTTCTACCTTTTTCATGGGTGGTAGAGCAAGCCCTGGTCTGGGAAAGATCCGACTTCCTTTCCTGGTTCTATTGCTGTGTGACCTGGAGACAGTCCCCTAGACTCTCTGACTCCCTATCCTCATTAACAAGTGCCTTCTCTGCCACACTCACAAGATAGCTGTGAGGACCAAATAGAAGCTTGAGAAAGTGCTTTAAGAATGATGATGCAGAGTAAGATGCGTAAGGATTGTCCTCAATGCTCCCTCCTTCCTGTTCTTCCCTCCAGCCTTTTGCCTTAATCAACTCTGTCCCTACCAGAGCCATCTCCCCCTGGGCTTTACGCTGGGCTGTTGAGGAACTTGTCAGTGGTCCCTGTCCACTCACTTGCCCAAAGACATCAAGCACATTGATGCCAGCTGCTTTCATGCCATCCCTTCCAGGAGTGTGTACATCTTAAGTGTGATTTCTAGGGAGAGGGTGCTATGTCGCCCAAATGACTGGGCTTCCGGTGGTGGAACTTTGGGCCGTGAGCAGACTGATGGAGGGAGTGTGGCAGAGGGTGCTGGTCCTTACACCCCCCTCATCCCACAGAGCACCTGCTGTGGGCACACTGCCTTCTGGGCCAGTGGGTTGGTGCTGCACCTTCTAATGTTGGCTGTCCAGCGGCACTAATGATATTTTTGACCTCAATATGTGGAGCAGGAGGGCCCCTTCCACCTTCTCCTCAAGCCTGTAGCACCATGCCACTCATCTCTGTCTCCACTACCCTTCGTCCTTGGGGCCCCCTCTGTGTCGTCCTCTGCAGGTCCGTGGAGTCTCTGCTTGAAGAGCTCGTTGTCTTTGGCTTTCTAAGGAAGAGCGAGACAGTGACCTTAAAAGACTACATTGGTGAGAGGCCTCCCCAGCACCTACTGTCCCAGGCCGAGGAGTGGTGTCCTGGCCATGGCCCTCCCGTGGCTGGCTACTACCCTCTGCAGTGAGCCTTCTCTGTAAGGGGCTCTGGCCCTGCCCCAGGGGATGCCACTCAGCAGGTGGCTATCCCCCCCCCCCCCCCCGCAGGTGACTTCCTCTATCTCGGATCCACTCTGAACTTGGCAAACAAGTTGCCTATGCCTTCCCTGTTTGACATACGACAGAATGTGGCCCTGTATGGAGTCCTTCGGCTTGGTGAGATGCCCTGGGGAGCGGGAAGAGCCAACAATAGCAGGTGGCTCTCGGGAGAGCCTGGGTATATGTCAGGGTGGCTGAGGTGGGCATGTCCCCTGTGCTGTGGAACCATGCTGGACTCCTCCTGCCTTCCTCAGGCCCTGCTGGAGGTCACACCCAGGTTGTGGTCACAACTCTGAAGTCATTTGACCCCTTAACCTACCAAGGAGTCCACCTTTCCGGCCCCTAGCCCAACCCCAAGTGATATCCTATAGTCTGTCCCATTTCCAGAAGACTAAGACCTTCCAGAAATAGAAAGAGATGGTGCAGAAAACAGAAAGGGGTTTGGAAGGGGGTAGAAGGCTCCCTCCCGACCCTGCACGTAGCTCTTCCTAATTGTACCTGGGCAGCCGTAGGAAGTCCTTTTGGCTGCCTAGCTCAGTGTGCTTGCCTTGGGGAGAGCTCAGACACTGCAGCCAGGATCTGAACCTCATCCCACCCATCCCCAGGCCTTTGGCCTCACCTTCCACAGAGGCTTCTACCCCAGCCCCCTCCTGGCCTATTGCCTGCCTCTGGCCCTTGTTTCCTCTCTCCCAGGCTCCCCTGATATACACGCCATGGCTCCCCTCATCCGCTCCATCCTCCTGGTGGGCCCTTCTGGCATGGGGAAGAAGATGTTGGTCAAGGCCGTGTGCACAGAAACTGGTGCCAACCTGTTTGACCTGTCACCCAGCAACCTGCAGGGCAAATATCCTGGCAAGATGGGGGTGCAGATGATAGTGCATATGGTCTTTAAGGTCTGGCTCCCCCAACTCTGGCATTTCTAGTTCTCAGGCCGACCACAGAGCAGGGAGGGCTTTATGCTTAGGAGACCCCCCACGTCTGCCTATTTGGTGTGACTGCAGGAGCTGGCGAGGTCTCCCTACCAACCCCTGCTAGGAGCTTGTGGATTCTGGAAGCCCTAGTGATGGAGGACGAAGGGGGCTGTGGGGAGCAGAGGAGGTTATTTCATGGTAGAGATGAGGCTTCCCCCCAGGGAGGATGGGGACTTGGTTCACGTGGAGGTGTGATGGAGGTGCCGCAGGCTGACAGGTGGGGTGGAAAGGGGGTACAGAGCTCCAGGGCCTGCCCTTGGGCCAGACACAGAGGCAACCCATGCCCAGGAACATCAGACATCAGGGCTTTCTTCTCTGACCTGTCCAGGTGGCTCGACTCTTACAGCCCTCTGTGATCTGGATTGGGAATGCTGAGAAGAATTTCTATAAGAGGGTCCCCAAAGAAGAGAAGGAGGTGTGGGGGCCTGGGTAGTGGCATGACCCAGGAGCAAGGCTAGCAGTCCTGGGCTTGTTGAAGTCAACTCCGAACCTCACCCACCATGTGGCCTTGGACAAGTTCCCTGTCTTCCTACTGCCTTTTCCCTGTGGTTAAAGAAGGACTGGCCTCCCCCTGGCCAACTCCTAGTGTCCGCTCAAGGCTGAGTGTGGGCATGTGCTCTGAGAAGCTCATCTGAGTCACCATGTCTCTCCCCACCAATCCTCCCTCCCCAGAGTAGATGGACCCAAAGCGAATAAAGAAGGATCTCACCAAGGCCCTGCGACTGCTGAGCCCAGGAGACCGTGTGATGCTGATAGGGACGACTGACCAGCCACAGCTGGCGGAGATGAAGGGGCTGTGCCGGACCTACGAGCGAATCCTCTTCATGCCACGGCCTGACTATGCTTCTCGGTTTGGTGAGGCCCTGTGACATGAGGATAGGCCTGACAAGGGACCCGGGAACCACCCTTCTTTCCATCCTCACTGCTGCTGGGAGAACTTGCCTCCATGGCAAAGAAGGGCAGCTAGACGAGCAGCCCGGTGGCCTGGGTCCAGGCCTGGCTTCATGGACACGGGCAGGCCACGGAAGACCTCAGTCTCATTTCCTCGTGTTAAGTGGAGAGGATGATTCTCCTTCCTGGGAGGGCAGGCACTGATGGACACAGAGCTCCTTTCAGATATAGGCAGAGACACCCACCACTGCTCCCTGCCCTGTGTCCTCCCCCAATGCCTACAGTGCTCTGGAGGCAGATGATAGAGACCCAGGGAGTCCAGGTGACCCAGAACCTAGACATCAGCGCCCTGGCCAAGGTGTCCGATGGCTACACACCCGGGCACATTCTCCAAGCCATCCACTCAGTGCTGACCGAGCGGCGGGTCCTGCAGTTGTCCAAGCAGCCCCTGGTGGCCTCAGAGTTCCTGGGCCATCTGGCCAAGCTGGAGCCAATGTACAGGGAGGAGGAGGAGTCCCTGAAGGTGAAGCTTTGGGGGTGGGGGCCGTCGGGAAGCCAGGCAGGAGGGTAATGGTCCAGCACTAACCAGGGAGCCAGCCCTCTGGAGCCCCAGGCCCACAGTCCCCCTTAGACTGCTCCCTCTGCTCCCCCATGGAGTTCAGCTGGGAAGGGAAGAGACCTCACAGGGAAGGGCCTGTGGGCAGGACCCTGCTCACCTGGTTTCTAGGGCAGGAGTCTGAAAGTGCTGCCTGTGTATTAAGGGCCCTTGGGTGGTTGGTCCTGGCACCAGCTGACACCCACATTCCCTACCTCGGCCAGTGCCCACCAGTGCCCCACAACTGGCAGGATGGCCACAGGAGCCCTGGAGAGAGGGCTTTCCCCCAACAATGGCCGACTCCGTGGCCTGGAACACTTGGTGGGGAATGAGGGAAACCAGGGCTCAGGGATGCCTGAGCCCCTGAAGAGAGGAGGAAAGGGGAGGGCAAGGTCAGGAGGCAGAACCCAGGGCTAGAGCCTATGCCCTTACCCCTTTCCTCCTCTGCCACCAGGACTGGTACTTCAAGACACCACTGGGCAAGAGGAAGGTAAAATTCATCAAGGACCAGGATGTTGAGGAAGCCAAACTGGCAAAGGAGAGGAAGAAAAGAAAGTGATAGTTGAGGCCAGAGTGCCCAAGCTCGGCAGCAGGACCGGGATGCGCCCCGCAGGTGGAGGGCTGGGGCAGAGGCATAAACGGCCACGCAGCTCGGGAAGCAGCTCTCTCTGTGCATCTCCGTGCTTTCCACCCCTGCTCTGTGCCCCCTGCTGGTGCCCAGCCTCCCTCTCCCACCCATCTTCACCCACTCACAGCCTTCTCCCTGGGGCCCACTGATCTGTGTCCCCTGACCCCACCTGTGCCTTCATCTCTGGTCGTCTCCCGTTCCGGCTTCCCAACTCTCTTCCTCCTTGGGATTTTTAAGAGAGAAAAATAAGAAAAGGAGGAGAGCAGGAAAAAGAGAAGGGAGAAGGAAGGTCTACAGTAGTCTGGAAAAAGGAAAAAGCAAGTTTGGAAGTCAGCAAACCCTGGCGAGAGCCCCACCTTGGTACTATCCCCCTGTGTGACCTGGCACAGACCATTCCTGTCTCCGGGCCTCAGTTTCCTTACCCGTATAGCAAGGAGAGTTGGACCAGCCACTCTTTGAGGTCCCTGGTACTCTAGGGTTTGGTTATTCTTACAGAAGTGTGTCGGGGTGGGGGGTGAGGACTCTTCGGGAGCAGCGGGGTGAGGTAGAGGAAGGTTCTAGGGAGAGTGTGGTGGGTGGCCAGAACAAGGGCCCTTGGCAGAGGACCTGCCTTCTCTGAGTGGTCTCCACATCTTGCTGAAACCCCCCCTACCCCCCACCTTGCCTGCCCAGGCTTTGCTCTCCTTCCTCTGACCCAGAGCCTGTTCCTCAGGGGACAGATGGGACACAGCCTCCTGCCTCTGAGTGGAAGTTCGTCTGTGTGTCCCCTTTGCTGAGGAGGGAAGGGTTGGGGGTGCCGAAGGAGACCTTGGGGAGCAAGGGACAGTCATGCCACTGAGGGCTGAGAGCCCCAGGGTTCTCTCAGAAGCATCCGTGTAAAGAGTGTGTGAATAAAGTCAAGGTGTGTTCTGCAGGTCACAGAGGCCAATGAGAGACAATGAGAGCCCCTGCGGGCTGCCCAGAGGGCTGGGTTTTAAGTTCTCTTTCTCTCTATTTTCCTGTTTATCTCCCCAAATGAAAGTAGTCTCCTTGGGGATCCCTGGGTGGCTCAGTGGTTTGGCGCCTGTCTTTGGCCGGGGCATGATCCTGGGGTCCCGGGATCGAGTCCCATGTCGGGCTCCCGGCGTGGAGCCTGCTTCTCCCTCTGCCTGTGTGTGTGTCTCTCTCTGTGTCTATAATAAATAAATAAATAAATAAATAAATAAATAAATAAATAATCAATCTTAAAAAAAAAAAGAAAGTAGTCTCCTTATCCTAATGCACCTGAATAGGCAGAAACATTTCCTCCTTCTCATTCCCCAACTGAGACCCCTCTAAATTTGGCAGGGAGAGATGGGAGGAGAGGCACCTAGGGGGGAGCAGCACCTAAGGTGGGCGGGGGGTTGGCACCCATGGTGGGCATGGGGATGTCACCATCCAGAGTGGGCACTGGGTGCTTCTATTGCTGCCTGTGGGCTGAGCCCTCTATCCCCCAGGCAGAAGCCCATCTTCTAGAGAACACCTGGAAGGAATGCCTCATGGAATGGGACATTCTCTGCTATTTGTCACCATGTGAACCCTTTCCTTGGGTTTGGGAGGGGGAAGGTGCAGGGCTAACCAGTGACATTTGGAAAGGTGGCAAAAACTGCGTGACACCCCCAGGCCCTCCCTCTGGGGTCGGAGCCCAGGCCACTGGAGGCTCGCTGGGTGGAGCATGTGATAGACAACAAAGAGGATGAACTGGCAGCTCGAAAGTCCCCAACTCCACCCCCAGCCCCACCCCCACCCCCACCCCTACTCTAGTGCCAGATCTGCAACAAGTTGTCACACGTTGGGCAAATCACTTCCCACATGGGCTCCATGTTCCTTTATCTGAGCATTTCAGGTTGGCTACCATGACCTGGGGGATCCCTTTCAATCTTGAGAGCCATCAGCTCCAGGGTGAACTCGGGCAGGGTTGGAGGGCTCCATCCTTACTCTATTCTCTGGCTCCTCCCTATCGCCTTCTCCAGCTGAGGTCTCCTTTCCTGGGACTGACAGCTAGGACAGCCAGGACTATTTATGGTGTCGCCTGTGTGTGCCCCCTGTCCCTCCCACACAAGGCCTCTGCCTGGCTCCCGCCCAGTGCCTGCCTGGCCAGTCGGCTAGTGGCACACCCTGAGTCCTGCTTCTTTGGCTCCCTCTCTCCCAGAAACTGGCTATGCCTGGGAGAAGGAGTTCCCCTCCCTGCTGGGGACGCCATCTGGGGTACCTTCCTTCGGCCCCCTCCTGCCGGGTCTGGGGGGCCCAGGCCTGCCCAGTCCGGGAGCCGACTCAGCGGTCGCCACTACTGTGTCGTGACATGGCCCTACAGAATGCCCTGTACACCGGAGACCTGGCGAGGTTGCAGGAGCTCTTTCCCCCGCACAGCACGGCTGACCTGCTGCTGGAGTCCCGGGCCGCCGAGCCTCGCTGGAGCAGCCACGAGAGGGGTGAGGGACTGGGGAGGGGGTGGAGGGCTAGGAGCCAGGGGCCTGGGCTGACCCTATCAGGCACAGAGATACCAAGTGCTTGAGGAAAGGAGAAGCCCCTGGCTACTTCTCCCCTACCCAGAGGCTTGCCTAAGCCTTGGCCCAGGAGTGAAGTCATGCGGAGCCCAGAATAGCTTCTGCTGAACTGCGTGGCTGGGTCAGGCTCGGCTCAGGGACACAGAGACCCTCTCCGTCTGTCCCCGTTTCCCTCCTCCTCTCCCTCTCTCTGCCTCTGACCTCCTGCCGCTCCTTCCCCCACTGCTCTCCCCACAAGCTCATACTCTGTCCTCATGAGCTGGTCCCCAGAAGAGTGCAGGGGGCAGGGAGAACCCTCCAGTGACAGACACGCCCTCTGTGCCAGGCTGGTGGAGAAGCCCAACAGAGGGTCTGCGGAGCACCCAGAGTCTGGCCCGGGACCCATCGTCACCCGGACGGCCTCGGGACCTGCCCTGGCCTTCTGGCAGGCCGTGTTGGCCGGGGACGTGGGCTCTGTCTCCCGCATCCTCACGGACTCCAGCACGGGCCTGGCTCCGGATTCCATCTTTGATACCAGCGACCCAGAGCGATGGAGGGATTTCCGCTTCAACATCCGTGCTCTGAGTACGGGTCGGGGGGCCTAGGGGTGGGTGGGGGTCTGAGTGGGATTGGGGAGGCCAGGGACGGAGCTCTGGGCTCCCTCTTCCCAGCCTCTGCCCACCTCCTCGGTCGCCTGGGTGTTCTGCACCTCCCGCCAGGGTCTGAGGCCCACGTCCCCTCTCTCCCTAGGACTCTGGTCTCTGACGTACCAGGAGGAGCTGACCACCCCACTACACGTGGCAGCTAGCCGGGGCCACACGGAAGTCCTGCAGCTGCTGCTGAGGCGGCGGGCAAGGCCTGACAGTGCCCCTGGGGGCCGCACCGCCCTGCACGAAGCCTGTGCTGCGGGCCATGCGGCCTGCGTCCATGTGCTGCTGGTGGCCGGAGCCGACCCCAACATCCCCGACCAGGACGGAAAACTCCCCTTGCACCTCTGCCAGGGGGCCGGCACCCTTGAGTGAGTGACCCCTCAGCCCAGCCCCCTTTCTACTCTTAGGGGAGAAAGAGATGATGACCTCAGGGAGGGTGAGGGAGCATGTTAGGGGTCAGAATGCTTGGTGGGCTGGGATGGAGGAGCCAGGGCTCAGGTGGGGAGTCAGGATGTGATTAGTCCCCAAACCACCCTACCATTGGCCCTGGATCTTTGGAATGGCTTGTACACGGGGCAGTTTCTGCTTCCCCAGGGGTGTGAGAAGACCAGTGCAGGGACTCGGCCATATAGCCTGTGTTGGGGAAGTTGTCTGGATCTATTATGGGGGAGATGGTACACTATAAAGTCTTAATTTTTCTTAGCTTTATCCTATGCTCCAGGCCCTGTGATAAGCACAGTAGTAACTGAGGCATGATCCTGTCTTCAAGGAGCTGACTATTCAGGAGTGATCCAGATAGTCTGTAAAGGAGAGCAGCCCCCAGTTAGGGCATGCATTGATCCCTGTGGGCAGGTCTGGCATTTCCCTATTGGCAGGGTTCCTTCCGAGAAATGGGCCAAGAGACCCAGTTCCACTAGCTAAACTTACAAGAAACTGATAGATAAATGCAATTCCTTTACTATGACCCAAATAATTATGCCCTATGTGTAGGGCACCGTGGGGGACGAGTCCTCACTCAATTTTTTGATGAGCATAGAATCCTGGCAAAGGGAGCCTTGTACATACAGTAGAGACCCTTTCTCTACTGACTGTACACCCAACAAATTTCACATCTTGCTTCTGAATGGTGCCAAATTTGTATTCCTTTCATGAACCTTCTCCCTCCTGTTAACCTCATCATCTCTCAGCAGACTCCATTGACTTATTATGGTCAAAGATGTATTCTATACCAGTGTATCCCAATAGAAATACTATTGGAGCCACATATGTAATTTAAAATTTCCTAGTATCATTATCAAAAAAAAAAAAAAGAAAGAAAGGAAGAAAGAAAGAAAGAAAGAAAGAAGAAGAAGAAGAAGAAGAAGAAGAAGAAGAAGAAGAAGAAGAAGAACGGGGTACCTGTTTCAGTCTAGTAGAGCACGTGACCATTGATCTCGGGGTTGTGAGTTTGATCCCCACATTGGTGTAGAGATTACTTAAATATAAATATAAAATCTTTAAAAAAATACAGAAAAAAATATATGAAATTAATTTTTAAAATTGTGCTAAAATACATAGAACATAAAAGTTACCATCTTGGCCATTTCTAAGTGCACAGTTTAGTGGCACTAAGTGGGTTTATGTTGTCAGGCACTCATCACCACTATCCTTCTCATGAACTTTTTTAATCTTCTAAAACTGAAATTCTGGGGACACCTGGGTGGCTCAGCAGTTAAGCATCTGCCTTCGGCTTACGGAGTGATCCCGGGGTCCTGGGATAGAGTCCTGCATCGGACTCCCTGCCTGGAGCCTGCTTCTCCCTCTGCCTCTCTCTCTGTGTGTCTCTCATGAATAAATAAATAAAATATTTAAAGAAAATTTTAAAAAAACTGATATTCTGTCCCTACTGAACAATAGTTTTCTCATTCCTCTCTTCCTCCAGCCTGTGACAGCCACCATTCTTCTGGTTTCTAGAATTTGACTATTATAAGTACCCCATATGAGTGGACTCACAGGACATCTGTCCTTGTGTAATGGCTTCTTTCACGCAGCACGATGTCCTCAGGGTTCATCCATGTTGGAGCAGGTGTCAGGATGTCCTCCCTTATTCAGGCTGAATAAGATCCCATTGTATGTAGATGCTACATTTTATCTATTCACCTGCTGATGAACACTTCAATTGCTTTTACATTTAGGTGATTGTGAATACTGCTGCTCTGAACATGGGTGTACAAATATCTGTGAAATGGGTGCAGTTAATTTTAATAATATATTTAACATAGTATATCCAAAATGTTGTGACTTCCGCATGTAATCAATATAAAGAACTAATGAGATATTGTACATTGTCTTTTTGTACCAAATCTTCAAAATTGATGTGTATTTTACACTCACAGCATGTCTCAATGAGGCATAGTCATAATACAAGTGCTCAATAGTTGTGTGTGGCTGGTGGCTAATGTATTTGACAACACAGCTCTATAATACCACAGTTTTTAGTTCTGGCCTCATGGAGACCTCACCCAGTGAGAATCATTCTTTCCTTTCCTGAGTAAACAGAAGTATTTTTTTTAAATACTAAGAATCTTAAATTCTAAGATTTTATCAATTTATTTGAAAGAGACAGAGAGAGTGAGTGCGAACACAACCAAGGGGAGGTGCAGAGGGAGAGGGAGAAGCAGACTTCCTGCTGAGCAGGGAGCCTGACATGGGGCTTGATCCCAGGACTCTGGGATCATGACCTGAGCTGAAGGCAGATGCTTAACCGACTGAGCCCACCAGGTGCCCCAAAATTATTAAGGAGAATTTAAATATATAGAAAGGGGGGGAAAGATAATACAAATGGGCTCCCATGGTCCATTACCACCCACTCCCCCTGCCAGATGCTGCCATCATGACCTTTCCAGGCAATGTCTCATGTGTTGCTCACAACTTCATTAGGTCTAGGTATTAGCTATTATCCCCATTCTATGGATGAACACACTAGCTCCAAGAGGCTAAGCTCCCTTAGCCTCGAATTTCAGTGTACACATTCCTTTTTTCTTAAGATTTTATTTATTTATTTGTGAGAGAGAGAACAAGCACATAGGCTGGAGTGGGAGCAGAGGGAGAGAGAGAAGCAGACTCCCCACTGAGCAGGGTGCCTGATGCAGGGCTTATCCTAGGACCCTGAGATCATGACCTGAGCCCAAGCAGATACTTAACTGACAGCCCTCCAGTTACCCCCAGTGTACACATTATTATAGGCACACACAACCTTCTGTGAAGGCTGTCTTAGAGCAAATCTGGCTGGCCAATTTTGGTTTTGTTATTCTTTCTCCCATGCCCCATCCGCACCCCCTGCCAGGCCCCATGTCCCCCTTCCTCCACCAGCCCCAGCATGCACAGCACTACATCTGCCCTGCTGCCCCCTGGGCCAGAATGCCAGCCCCTCCTCTTACTAGTTGTGTGAACGTGGGCCAGGTCTTCACATCCTCAGGGCTCAGTTTCCCCTGGGAACCTGGGATGAAAGAAGCCAGTTCATGCCAAACCCTTGGAAGGGCGCCTGTTTTAACTGCATGAGGGATGCATGTAACTTTCATGCCCATGAAGAGTTAGTGCATGACTCCTGCAGATAGTATGTGGCTGGAAGAAAAGGCATGCTGACCCTGCAGGGCCCAGCTGGGACGACTAGTGACCCACAGGATAGAAGGGGAGGGGCAGACAGAAGCAGGGGCCATCAAAGAAGTCCCCCAGGTTCGCTCTGCTTGGACCAGTAGGAGTGCAGGGCCCTATCTCCCTCCTCCTCCACCATCTCGCCCTCGCCAGGTGCGCAGAACTGCTCCTGAGGTTTGGGGCGAAAGTGGATGGTCGGTCTGAGGAGGAGGAGGAGACCCCTTTGCATGTGGCTGCCCGGCTGGGCCACGTGGAGCTGGCAGGCCTGCTTCTGAGACGGGGGGCCTGCCCTAATGCCCGCAATGCCGAAGGCTGGACCCCACTGCTGGCCGCCTGTGACATCCGCTGCACGTCCCCCACCGATGCTGAGGCCACCACCGCTCGCTGCGTCCAGCTGTGCCGTTTGTTGCTCTCGGCCGGAGCCGATGCCGATGCTGCTGACCAGGATAAGCGGCGGCCCCTGCACCTGGCCTGTCGCCGTGGCCACGCAGCCGTCGTGGAGCTGCTCCTGTCATGCGGCGTCAGCGCCAACACCATGGACTATGGGGGCCACACAGCCCTTCACTGTGCTCTGCAAGGCCCACCTGCGGCCCTGGCCCAGAGCCCAGAGCACACAGTGCGAGCCCTGCTCAACCATGGTGCTGTCCGCGTCTGGCCTGGGGCCCTCCCCAAGGTAGGGGGCTGGGGCTGGAGGGAGGGCTGGGAAGGTGAGGGAATGGGGAGACTCAGACCTGTTCCCACTCGCTCTAGATGCAGCCTCTAACACTTGAGCATGAGCCAGTTCTTCATCTTGCATTCATCGAGTAAGCAAAGCCCAACAGGGGGCAAAGGCAAGGACATAAACCAGCAGGAGGTGTGTGTGTGTGTGTGCATACATGTGCTCACACCCGCATACACATGTGGGTGCATATGTACATATACATGTGCATGTTCACACACGTGTGTGCACGTGTGATGATGGACTGAGGGCACACATGGATATACACGTGGGTGCATACATGCATATACATGCGAGTGTGCATGCACACATGTGTGATGTGGTGGGCTGAGTGCATATATGCATATAGACACATTTGCATACATGTTTACGTGTGTGTGTGCACATGTGTGATGAAGGTGGACGGAGGGCAGGAGGTCAGATTATCATGCATCTGAAAAGACAGGAGCCAGGACTGATGTGGGCATCAGAGAGTTGTTTCTTCATCAGGCGAGCGAGCTAATGAAAGAAGAGTGCAGGCAGCTCAGCCTGACAGTGGGATCCGTTCAGTGAGACACTGTGCATGGGAGAGGCTTCCAGAACAGAGCCATGAGCCTGGGTCATGAGGTTCAAACCCTCCTGAACTTTTGCAGACAGATATGGTCCTTGTTTTGGGGAGCTTAGCAGGACATGCATCACCCAGACCAGCAGCTGCTATCCTGGCACCAGAGAGAAAGCCTTTCACTGTCAATTTCCTGCCTGTATCTTATTTTGTTAACAAAATACTCCCCAGTAGGTTCAACCTGGAGATCTGTGCTACTTCGGCCCTGGCAGGGGGCCCTGTCTCATACCTCCTTGTATCTAGAGCGGGCCATATACTGTCACAGAGGATTCTGGGACTGGGGTGGGGACCCCTGTTCTCTGAGGAGCTGGGTCAGAATGGATACAGGGTAGCAGGCTGTGAGCAGGCCCCCTACCCCATTTCGGGCTTGAACTGTCCAGCCCTACCAGCTCCTGGACACTCCTCTCCTGCCTTTCCCCTTCACTCACAAACCTAGAAGCATCTATCTAGATTCCTAAGCAAGACCAAATAATTAAACAGCCCGAGAGTTCGGCAGATTGGTCTCCCCTTTGGGAAAATACAAGAAAATCAACAATTAACACTAATTAATCTCCTATTAACACCAGATAATTAGGAGACAAGCAATCCCCCTGTAATCTGACGGTGGCTCTGACAGCTAATGATTTCCCCTTCAGGGAGGGGTGGGAGGAGGAGGCGGAGCAGCAGACAGATTTCCTGAGACCTGGTTACCCATTCCCCCAGCCCTGATCTGCCCTGCCTTAGGGACCAAGGGGGCTGGCACAACCAAGTGCCCCATTCCTCCCTTCATTTGAGTGCCGTATCCCAGGTGATCGAAAAGTTCAGGAAGGAGTCTGCCTCTGTCTCCTACAATCTGCAACTGCTCCACACTTGGCTGAGGTGCCTGTGTCCCTGCAAGGAGTCATCTATGATCACTGCCAGCCTCAGCCAGCTCTCCAGGAGCCACTGGGTGCTCAGGAAACCTGGAGCGAGGGTCTGGCTTTGATGCTTGTTCCTGTGACTAATAGGCAAGTCACTGGAACTCTTGAATGCATGTTCCTTGCATGTAATACAGTCTCGGCCTACCAGTCTCTACTCTACCTAGTGATAAAAAGCTCTAGGAGCCCCGTGGGTAACAGTAGGAACAAGCACAGCCTTGAGCACCACCCGACAGTATTCTATGGTGTGTCAGCTGCTTCATGGATGCCTTCAGTTCTCCCAACAAACTCTGATGTAAGTGGCTGACCAAGAGTGCAGGCTCTGGAGCCTGGCACCCTACCCATGTGACCCTTGGCAAGTTGCTTAATCTCTCTGGGCCTCAGTTTTCTCATCCATAAAACAGGGACTGAAGAGTGTGCCTGCTTCAAAGGGTTAGTATGAGAACTGAGCTCATATGTATAAAGCCCGTTAGACAGGGCCTAACGTGGAGTTAGTGCTCAACACCTGTTAGCTCCTGGTTTTCTTGGTTAAATCATGTGTGGGAAGGCTGCTGGGCATTATGCCAATGTAAGGAGAGAGAGATGCAGGTTGAACAGCCTCAGGGGGCTTCCTGGAGGGGCTAGGACTGGGGATGGGCAGGGCTTGGAGATGGAGGAGGAAGGCACAGGTATTTCAGGCAGAGAGCTGAGGCAGGAATCAGCATGGCCTAGAAGGCACAGAGAGACCCCCGCCTGAACAGCAGACAGGGGTAGCAGGGCAGGGAAGAGCAGGACAATCTGATGGGACCAGCCTGTTCTTTCCTAGATCTAAGGAGGAGGAGTAAGTCAGAGACCCACTCGGGGCAGACGGGATGGGGCAGCTCTAGTGAGCACTGCTGAGATGCAGGTCAAGAGGCAGAGGGCTCCAGGTGTGTGAGATACTTTCTCCAGGGGCCCCTGCTCCCACTACGCAGCAGCACCCAGTGCATGCAGCACCCTAGCCTGCCAGGTAGGGGGGGGTGTCTCCTTGTAGGCAGGGGTTTTAAAGCCCCTAATGTTGCATGCAAGTGTGTATGCGGGGAGAGGAGTGTCATGTACAGGAATGCTGCCGGAGAGATAGTACTTAGCTGTTTTCAGATTTTACAAAGGGTTTATGGCTACTGCCTATAGCTTGAGACACAGTAAGAGATGGAATGGATAAAGCACAAATCTGCTTCTAGCTAGTACATGCAGACTCGGGTGAGTATGATGGCAACTGTGTGTGTCCAGGCCGGGTGTGGCTGTCTTTCTTTCCATGTGGACAGTTTCTGGCATGGGCGGCTCTCCCAGCATGGCTCACCCTACACTGCACCAGGTCATCTCCTCAGAGAGGCTTTCCTTGACCACTCATCTAGGACAGTACCCTCCCGACACTGAAGTCCCCAAATCTACTTATTTTTCATTGTAACGGCTTATCTGTAAGTGGTTATTTATGTGTTGATTGTTTTTTCCCACTGAAGTAGAAGTTCCCAGCTGACAAAGACCTATCATCCCCATTGCTGGGTCCCCCGTGTTTGGCCCATAGTGGCCCTCAGTAAACATTTACTAAATGATGAAATGAAAGAACGAATCTGGCTCCACCTTGATCCCACCACCACTCTTTCATCAGGCCTCTGCTGGCCTCATCCCTTCTCTCTGAATCCCCGCCCTAATGACCTCATTTTAACTTGATCACAACGGCAAAGATCCTATTTCTAAATAGGTCATATTTATATGTACTGGGGATTAGAACTTCAATGTATTTTTGCAGAGGGGACACAATTCACTCCATGGCAGCTGTTCTGTCATTGTCTGGTCACCTTGTGTGGACTGGCTAAGCACCTGCAGTGGGTGGTAACCCCAGAAACACTGACACCTCTCTGCCTTCTCCAGGTACTGGAGCGCTGGTGCACATCTCCGAGGACTATCGAGGTCCTGATGAACACCTACAGTATCATGCAGCTTCCTGAGGAGGCCATGGCCCTGGTGCCTCTTGAAACTCTGCAGGTCAGATTCCTGACCACAGGAGTCTGTGGTCAGGAATTCAGAGACCCTGAACACACACTCACTCAGCCTGGCCCCAAGGGACTCCCACCACCTACAGGGAAGCTCTGTCAGTTCCCCTACCCTGCCCCAGAGAAACTACCCAGAGACCCGCTCATGTTCCAGAAGAAAACACACAGAATGAACACCCCAAACACCACTTCTAGAGGCTCCTATAGACACCTGCTGGACACCAGCCTCCCCGCTTTAGGAAGAGAGGGTGCAATTTGTCCAAGGCTGCCCTGCTGAGTCCCTTATTCTGTTTCCAGAAGCACCACCGTTTCTATTCCTCCCTCTTCGCCTTGGTGAGACAGCCCAGATCACTGCAGCATCTGAGCCGCTGTGCACTCCGTGCTCACCTGGCAGCCTGCCTGCCCCACGCCCTGCCCCGCCTTCCCCTGCCACCCCGCCTGCTCCGCTACCTGCAGCTGGATTTTGAGGACGTGCTCTACTAGGTGAGTCCTGGGCTCTATGGGCAGCCCCAACCATTTAGAGAGATGAGTAGGAGGCAAGAGAAGAGTTGGGGGCAGGGCTTTGGCCAGAACCAGCCAGCCAGCCTCCTGGACCATGGGACCTCTCTGAATCCACACCTCTTTCCAGGTGTCCACTGCCTCTTGAGAGACCTGAAAGCAGATGCCCCAGGGGGCTCCAGTCTGCTTCTCACAGCACCCCGAACCCAGGACTGTGTCAAAATTATCTGGATCAAGGTGGTCTTGTCAGCAGGAGGTCCAACTCCACAGGCAGATGTAGGTGCTGCCATTCCCACCAGGGAGAGAGGCAGATGGACCACGCAGCCAGGTGATGTCTAATGGCGAAACAGCTGGGACTCATGGCAAGTGACACACTCCTCTTGGTCATCTCCTGAGGCACCCCTTCAGCCCATCCAAAGCCTGTATGAGCATTAAAAATCTTCAGGCCTGTGTTGTTTTGGTGCTGTCTCCAGGCCCTCCTCTGAGCTGGTCACCCAGAGGGGTCAGGATGGGCAGACTTATGGCCCCTCCCTGGATCTGCCCCATGGCGACAGCTGTGTCATCTTCCTCCTTTGGCATCTACTAGCTATGGAGTGGTCCCAGGCTGACTTGTCCCGCTGGTTCATGACATGGCACAAAGGCCACCAGATGAGATAGTGTCAGGACGCCGGCCAGAGGATGGGTAGGCACGAGCTGCTCGGGAATGAGGCAGTGTGGACGGTGGGACAGGATGGGAGAGGCAGCCTTGGGGTAGGGAGGTGAGGTGAAGAGCAAGGCGGCCAGCCAGAAGGTGGGGTGCAGGTGTTGGCCATCAGGTTCAAGTGAGAGTGGAAGATTCAGGCTGGGAAAAAAACAAACAACTCCAGCTACTGCCTGTCCTGTAGGTCAGGGAACACCAGACACCCACATGGTTCCTGCCTCTCTTGGATTTAGCTTTGTGGCAGCAGGAGCTGAGCTGGGATTTATATGCGGGGGGCGTGTCACAGCTCTGCCATTAAATTGTGGAACTAAATCTCTTCCCCTCTCTGGGCTCAAGCTGCTCCCATCTGTAAGACAAGAAAGGAGAGAGTCCCCCCGACGGTCTTTGCGGTGCTAGGATTTAAAGACCCCGCAGGTGGCCATCGGGGCAGTCTGCCTGAAGCCTACCGCTGACCCAGAGCAGCCAATTGAGTGCCCTGCGATCCGTGACGTCAAGGGTCGCCGGACAGGATTCCTGGGGCCCCAGAGTGCGCATGCGCTGGGGTTCACAGCTTTCCCGCCAACTTCGGGAAACGAGGCGACGGGGGTGGGGCCGCGGGGGCGGGGCCAGCAGGGCGCGAAGCCCAAGAGGGCGCGGAGAGACGCCTAGGAGTACGCGACGAAGGTGAGTGGACCCAGGGGTTCCCCTCTGGCCTCACCGGCCTTGGGCTGCCCGGCCCTGTGGGGCGCGACGGGAGGACTGGACCGCCAGCGCCTCAGCTGTGGGGGGATGGGGTCAGGGAGACAGGGGTCAGGGGTCAAGGTTCGGGCGGCGATTTCTGTGGGCTTCGCGCGTGTGCGAGCTGCCCCGGCTGTGCGGGCCTCTCCCAGAGAGCCCGGCTTGTCCCGGGGCGGGGTGGTGGTGGTGGTGGAGGGCCTGGGAGAAGGCCCCGGGGCCCATGCGCCTGCCCCTGTGGTCCAGGTGCCGGGCTGCACGGGCCTGGCTCTCAGGTCCCCAGCCGAGTACCTTCTAGTGCAGAAGGACCTAAAGCAAAGGGGCGGGAGGGCGTCGCCGTGCTGAGCCCTCCGCGGAATTCACTGGGCCATTGCCAGCGTGCTTGGAGCTACTGGAGTCCAGGTGACATTTAACCTGAGGCCCAACCATGTGCGTGGAGCGGAGAAGAGCCGGGAGATGACCTGACCTGACGGAGGTTTGGAAAGCTCTCAGGAGAGGCTTTGGCTCTGGGGAGAGGGGAGAGGCCAGGGAGAATCAAAGACCATTAGGGGCTACCGCCGAGGTCTAGAATCCCCTGGAGATGGGGAAGCAGTAGGTGAGGCTTGGGACCCTCTTTGGAGACTGGAGGAGACACGTTGATGGGCTGGATGTGGGGGCTGGAGGAAAGCATAATCCAGTATGAATCTCGGTGTTTGGGTTGAACAACTGGGCAGATGGTGGTGCTAGGTATTAGGGTGGGGAAGATGAGCAAGGGGCAGGTGGTGGAGGGATCGGGTGGTCACTCTGGGAGATAGGAGGTCGGAGCTGCCTATTACACATCTCAAAAAGGCAGTGTTACAACGTCGCTTAGATCTATGAATCTGGAATTCAGAGACAAGGTCCGGTCTGGGGATATAAATGGGATCATTGGCATGTGCAAGATGTTGAAGGCTGTGTTCTAAGAGAATCCTGACTCCTGAGGGGATGACTTTCCTGAGAGAGTTGTTTATGCATTTTGACGGACATTTTATTTAATCCCCTACATGTGGTCATTCATTTTGTGCCTCCTGAGTCCCAGGCTTTAGGCACTACTAGATCTACAGCTGTGAGTGAGACCAGTTTCTGCCCTCGGTGAATTTTCCATCCAGTCTGTAAAACAAGTGTGCGAATCACTAGTTCAAATACAGGGGGCAATGAAGTGAATGCAAAAGACACGTGGGAGCAGGAGCTGATGGCATGGAGAGAAAGGTGAGCAGTAAGGGCAGGGACCTGGCAAGACCTCACAGAAGGCGGTTGCCTCTCCCAAGGGCAGATAAAAAAGGAGAAGGATTTCTGACCATAGCTGAGAGTACTGGGTCCTCTGCAGGGATGCCTTTTTAAGAACGATAGCAGTAAGGGAAGGAAGCCGATGTGGAGTGGTCAGTCTGAGGTGCCGCCGCCCAACTTCACACGTTCTCGCATTAGCAGGCAGTGTTAGGAAGGTCCTTTCTGGGGTTAGACATCCACAGACACTCTTGCAAGCCAGGGAGCTTCTCCCCGGCCTCCTGGCTGCGGGTCCCGCGGGCCCAGAACCTCTCCCCGGTAATTGCTTTCCGTAATGTGTTTGCTCCAAACCAATTTCACGCCTCCGTGAGGACTCCGCCCTGCACTGGAAGCGCGGACCTCCCCACCACCGACCTACCCACGTGTAACGCGTGCGCACACACAAACGGCACACATTTTACACAACAGATACACGGGGTATCACGTAACTGGACACAAAAAAGTATACACGAACCTACACGCGTGCATACGAGACCTTAAGATGGTTGGGTGCAATTCCCCCCGCCCAACCAGTGCCCTCGCAGGTACCCAGCGGCGGGGCGTCCAGCGCGCGCGCCCTAGGAAGGCTCACCTGGTCGGCTTCCTTTGCCCTCGCACGTCTCTTGGACTAACGCCAGGGGTCGCTGCAGTACTCCGCACGTCACCCACGCTGCCGCAGTTGCGCGCTGCTGCCACCAGAGGGTACCCGCGGGCAGGCCCCGACGCTGCCCATCGTGAGTGGACTCTCTCCCGCCAATAAGAGAGGTGGAGGTACAGACTTTGGGCTTCGACTTTAGAATACTTGGTTCTCGGTATCCCAGGCGCTGGTTTCCAAACCCTGGAGGGGAGGCCAGCCGGTGAGGTCTATGATATAGGGACAAGCAGAGAGAGGGTAGGTTCAAAATAAAATTCCTCTGTATGAGCCTTTTTACCCAACAGGTGAAATGGTGAGAATGGGACAAGTGAGAGCACGGGGACCATTAAAGAAGCAGAATACTATTTTAGACGGTGACAAGAGTGCTTGCCCACAGTGGGCCTGTTGGGGGATTCAGTAAGGGAAGCAGAGTTTTCTCTTGGTAAAGAAAGGAGCCTGCTCTCCTCAGAGTTGATAGTGGCAGCCTCTTCACTGACGGTGAGGTAAGGGAGAGCCACTGATCTGGGGGCCTTCCATCCTTGACCCCCGAGCTCTCCTTTTTCCATTCAGTACAGGAAGGAAAGGTATTCTGAAAGGCATTTCTTCATGTTCGCTGGAGCCTTGCACTGGTTTTTTGGCTAGGCAGAGTAGATATTAATCACTCCCTCTCACAGATGGAGTTAAGTCAGAGGCCAAGGTCACATGGCTCTGAGAGGTCAGAACAAGAACTTCACTCCAAGTCTTATTACTTCAGCCAGTGCTCTCCCCCCCCCCCATTTGGCCTCAGTTCCACAGTCTACAAAAGGGCAGGGAAAGGGAATGGGCTGCTTCAGTTGCCACTCTGTATGTGCTTTTTATCCTGGTTTAGCTGGTGAATGTCAAGGACTATGCAGAAATCACACTTCATGACCTAGCATGGCAAGGGGACAGATTGAGGATATAAATGGATTACAGATACAGTATCTAACAAACATGCAGCACACCAGGGCAATACTAAATCCCTGGGGTTTCACTTGCCTCATTTCAGATTTGGTGGCCCGCTGGGATTTATTGGCAACAAGCTTTAAGCCTGTACACTCTGCCAGCTTGAGCAGAGGATTCCACTTTACTAAGTTTAGTTCTGGGCAATAAGCTCTTGGCTTGAGCTGGGTGACGTACACCTTCCAGATCAGAGGGTCTTTAACTTTGAGTCCTTGAAAGTGCATGATCTATTCTGTCCTACCAGAGAGTGACAGGCTTATTAAAGTGGCCTTTTATGAGGGTGAGGTGGTGGGTACTGGTGGGAGGGAGATGTTTCAATATACACCCTCTTGAGCTTTTAGAATTTTGTACTATGCAGTTTTATTACCTATACAAAAAATGAACGCAGTTCCTTTTAAAAATGTCTCTTCCTCTATGCTTTATTTGATTAGTGGTGTTGCTGCTCATACAGCTTTAATTTCAGTGATTGTAACCCAAAGTTCCCTCAATTATTTATCAAGTCAACAAGCCTCTATTATCCAACACTATAAAGCCATCAAACCAAGTACTGACCTCTCACTTTTAAAGTACAATACACTTTTGAAGTCTGGTCTTCCATATTGGTGCCATGAAGTGCTTGGTTAATTTAACAAAGGGTTCTGAAGCCTATCTTTAGGAGGATGTACAAAGATTATCCTAGTACCCTAGTAGTGAGGCACCTCTTCTTTCTCCACGGTGACATCTTCCCACCAGACTTGTCTCTAAGAGGTTTCATGAGTTTAATGTAGAGCCCAAGTTGGAGCAGGAATGCAAGGAAACCACAGTCTTCTCCCTTTGCCTTTCTGACGAGTTGTCGATCAAGCATGACCGACGAAAGGTCCCTTCTTGGGTCCTACCCCTTTCTGTCCCATCCTGGTGCCAGTGTCTTTCAGGGTGCTGTTTTGTAACACGTCAGTCTGACATTAGTGGTGTTCACTAGGCCACCACAGCACTCCTGATCTGAACAAATGTCACTGAGACCCAGAGGTCCCTCTGCCTGCTCTTCCTTGGCTCAGAAACACTGAGACTCTTAGTTGTAGGTTTTCCTCCTCACCTGAGCCCACCAACTTACCCCCACCTAGGCTGCGTCTTCCTAAACTGGCCCGGCTTTGCTTGCTCTTTTAACTAGGTTGGCTCTCCCCAGCCCCACCTGAATAAAAGTTTCCCAGTGACCAGGTGACCTTCATTTTAGCTAGCTAGCCTTGCTCTGTATCCCGAAGCACAGGTTACTCTCCTGTTGACTTGCCTGTCTTAAGTCTTTTTTTGCCCATCGACCTGGGGCTCCGATCAAGCAAAAGTGCCCATGACTTTTGCCTCTAGACTGTCAAATACGCCGCTGGGAATAAGGGGTGGGTGGGGGTGGTAAAAGACGCTGCCATTTCTGTGTCTGAGGATGGGGGAGGTGAACAGAGTCATCTGCAATTAGCAAATAATTAGCGCTGCTGACCCTTGGGGCTCATCAGCGCTCCTGGGGCCAGCCCCCAGCAATCAGCTAGGGCAGGTCGAGAGTGTCAGGCCCAGGAATGAATAGGGCTCATCAGCGGTGCTGGAGCTGGGGAGCCAATCAGGGAAATTAATAGCAGAAGAGAGGGAGAGAGGGGGAAGGCACAGAGATAGACAGACAGACAAGAGATACAGATATAGGTGAGAAATGGGGGTGGGGTGGGGAATAGAATAAGACAGGGGGATAGGGGATGAGAAATAGGAATAACCAAATAGGGATAGGAAGGACGGGCAGGAAAGGGAAGAGTGGAGGAAGGAAAAACATGGGAGGGATGGGAGAAAGATGGAGGGGAAAGGTGAGAGGAATGGTAAGTACTTGGCATAGTGTGGGCACTAGAGGAAGTCACCCGCAGAGGCCACAGTGAGGAACGGGGAGCCCGCCACGGAGGAGGGAAGGAGGAAGAAGGGGAAGAGCCAGTGTCAAGAAAAGGAGCCCCGGGGAGAGGGGAATGGGGCAGGGAGAAAGGGCGCCCGTACCAGGGCCCTGAGCTGCGGCGCCCGGCGGCAGAGCGCGCCCCCTGCCGTTCCCGCCGCGCCGCCCGAGGGGCGCGGAGGTCCGGTCCAGCCCGCCGCGCCGGGGCTCGCCCTCGGGGCGCCCGGGGAAGGGGCGTCGGGGACCGGCCCGGGGTCCGACGGAGGGCGGTGGTCCGGCCGCGCCGCCCCGCCCCCCCCCCCCCGGTGCGCCCTCCTCGCCTGGCGTCCCGCGCCACGTCCACGCCCGCGCAGGGTGGGCTGAGCGGGGGCCGGGAGGGGTGGAGGGAGGGGCCCCGGCCCAGCAGCTGCCGCCGCCTTCTCGTCGGCCGCAAACTTTCACAAAGCGGCGTGTCCGGCCTCATCAATCTCCATTAATAATAGTTGGTTGGGCCGCGGGGGGCGGGCGGGGGTCCCGGGCCGGCCGGCCGGGCGGGCCGCTGGGAACGGGCTCTGCGGAGGGAGCGGAGGGAGCGGAGCCGGGCGCGGCAGCGGCGGGCGGAGGGAGGAAGTGAAGCGTAATTTGAGGAAGATGGATGAGTCCGGAGGGCGACACCCCCAGCCCGCCCGCTCGCCCGCCCCCTCCCTCCTTATGAGAGAGAGGGAGCGCGGCGCCGGAGCCACACTGCGCCGAGCCCGCGCCCCGCCGCCACCTCGGCCCGGGAGCCTGGGAGCGAGCCCTGCGTGTCCGCGCGGGGCGCCCGAGCCGCGGGGCGCACGGCGGCGCCCGGAGGGGAGCGCCCCGGGGCGGCCGTAGCTCCCGGCACGATGCAGAGAGCCGGAGGCGGGGGTGCCCCCGGGGGCAGCGGCGGGGGCGGCGGTGGGGGCCCGGGCACTGCCTTCTCCATCGACTCCCTGATCGGGCCGCCGCCACCTCGCTCCGGCCACTTGCTCTACACCGGCTATCCCATGTTCATGCCCTACCGGCCGCTCGTGCTGCCGCAGGCGCTGGCCCCTGCACCGCTGCCCGCCGGCCTCCCGCCCCTCGCCCCCCTGGCCTCCTTTGCCGGCCGCCTTACCAACACCTTCTGCGCGGGACTGGGCCAGGCTGTGCCCTCGATGGTGGCGCTGACCACCGCGCTGCCCAGCTTCGCGGAGCCGCCCGACGCCTTCTACGGGCCCCAGGAGCTCGCCGCCGCCGCAGCCGCCACTGCTGCCCGAAACAACCCCGAGCCGGGTGGCCGACGCCCGGAGGGTGGGCTGGAAGCCGACGAGCTGCTGCCCGCCCGGGAGAAAGTGGCAGAGCCCCCGCCGCCCCCGCCTCCGCACTTCTCAGAGACTTTCCCAAGTCTGCCGGGTAAGTGCTGGGCCGACCAGGGCGCCGGGCGGGAGGCTCGTTCACTTGGAAATCCCAGACAGCAGCCTGCTCAGAATCTCGGCACCTGCCTGGAGCCCTGGAATCCCAGACTCCCAGATGTCGGGTTCTGCAGAACCACCTCCAGTTGTGTTCCAAACAGGGCACCTCTAGATCTCAGAACCGCTGCCCTGCTCTGTCTTCCAGAGTGCCTGAAGCCTCCCCGAGGACTTCCCAGTACTCCCTTCCAAATTAGTACCTTTCCTACCAGCATTCTAGTCCTCAAGCCTTGACTCCCACTTCTCTTTTTAAGAATCTCTTCATTCTTCTCCTCTGCGGAGAATAGAGAAGCTGCAAGTGTGGGATTCCTGGGGATACTAGCAAGACCCTAGGGCGAGGGTACATTGGGGCAGCTGTCAATTCAGTGCAGGGGCAAAGGGAGGGTCTTAAAGCAGTGGTGACCATGCTGATGACCTGTCTTTGCCTTAGTAGTAGAGGTCACTTTTGAATTGGCATATTTAGTGATTAACCTTGAAGAACTGAGTATGGGGTCTAAGGGAACATTAGCTAGGAGGGGACCTTGCACCTTCTGGACCAGGACTGACCGGAAGGTCAAGAAGACTAAAGGCTGGGCTGGGTTGGGCGTGGCACAAATGCCCAGAGTCAAGAATCTAGCTAAGATTCTGGAACCAGTGAGATTCATCGAAGAGATAATTCAGGAACCCTGGCTTCTCCATGGGAAGATGCCTTCTCAATAGAGGCAGAGTGTATTAAACTGAACCCTGTTTAGAATCAAGCTACTCCGAGCCCTCCTGGCCTCCGTAGTTGATCCTTAAGCCCTAGAAGCCAGGAAAGCTTTCCTCTATCCAGGGCCAGACCCAGGTGTGATGAGATCCAGAGCTTATACAATTTAGTGGACTCTGTTTAAGAAAAACAGTCTGTATGCAAGTGTGGGGCTCCTGAAGCTTAAACTTCTTTAGCACCGGGATGAATCCGCCTCTGCTTCCTCATTCATCACATCATATTAGCAGGTAAAAGTGACCCCAGGAGGCCTGGGGGCTGACTCCAGCAGAAACAAGAAGGAGAATCCAAGAGTCCTTTTGTCCTTTGCCAGAAGAAGACAATTCCTGGTGATAGGTTTCTGGGCCCTTCCTTGAAACTGTCCAAAGGTGTAATCACTCTTCCAGACCCCCAGTGCTGCTACAGGGCATGTCTTCCTCTCCTTTTCCCCTTTATCCCTGGGCATTTTGGCTTTGGGGATTCAGCTGTTGTTTTTGTACCTGGTTGGGCCAGGGGGACCCAGTGGCTGAAGTCTGAGCAGCATCTCCTAAGGAGGATCAAAAGGAAATGATAGAGCAGCAACTGGAAGGTGGGAGGAAATGTCCCCAAGATAAAAGGGCCCGGAGCTGAGGGTAGGGGAAAGCAGCTGGCAGGATAATCGGAAAGAGAACGGATCAGTAGGATTTTTGGAATAAGATAGTCCCAAGGCAGAAAAGAGCAAGGCAGACCATCAGAAGGATGGCTTTGGGGGTAATAAGAGCTGGAGGAACAAGCAGACACTTGCGGAAGAGATGAGCTGAGGGAGAGGAGAAAGAGAGACATACTAGGGGAGGGGAGCTGGGGGAGGAATATGCCTAAACCGTGGGAGAACTTGTCTTACTCTTTCAGGTCCCCTTTCAGTTGTTTATTTTGACCCATTTGTAGAATGAAGGCTCTTTTTTGAAGCAGCTAGAATATTGGCTGTAAAACGAGACACTGAATGAGTGAGAGAGGAGTAAGAAAAAGAACAGAAGAGAAATATTGAGGAAAGAAGAATAGAGGAAAGAAAGGACTAACAAATGCACTCTATCCCCAGATTGTCCAAAGAGGTCTGTCTATTGGGAGAGAGAGGTTCAAAGGATTTCTAGCCTGGGCTAGATGAAGAGGGAACAGCCTCTCTCGACCAGAAATGTGTGTGTAAAAGAGTTCTGCTTTGAGAGGCTTGGGAGGGAGCTAAATCAATGTACTGATAGGAAACAGGGAAAAGTGTCAATACTAGAAGTAATTTTTTTAAAAGGTTTTTCAATACTGGGAGCGATGGTAAACTGGAATTTATATAGAGAGAATGATGAGAAAGGTCATCATATAAGGAAAATGTTGGGAGCAATCAAAAGACACTTGTTCTTGGAGTAAAGACAAGAGTGATGGGAAGGAGACCTTACAGAAGAAGAATTCTGAGAGGTGGTAGAGTGAAAGAAATCACTCAGATTGGGAAGAGATACAATTAAAGGGTTTATCATGGGGCGTGTGGGGCAAAGCAGGAAGAGAGATTTTAGAAGAAACATTCAAAGAGGATAGTGACTAGGAGATCTTTATCTGTGACCCCCACTTCTTACAACCCTCAGTACAGACTCTCTTGATTCTTCCTCTTGATTCTTCCTTGCCACACCGCTTACGTCCACCTGCCCAGTCTTCTTTTTTTTTGCCCCCCTTAAGTAGTTGAGAAAAAAAGAGGAAATTCCAGAAATGTTAGATGGAAAATCAGTTTGGGTCGTGGTGGTGAGGAAACAAATACTCTATTTTGGGAATTGTATTAGAGTATTTATTGTGAAATGAGAATTTTTGGTTGAATAATGGGATTGAAACCTTAATATTCGAAGACTTTGGAGAAAGAATGTTACCTCTAAAAAGAGGGGGAATTGGCTGTTCTAGTGTGAATTGGTCTGAAATTATTAATTTACATTTGTTTAGTGTTTTACAGTAACCAGCCCCATTAAATGAAATTTTAGTGAAGATAGGCCAATTTGGAGAATGATAAGTAAAGTTCTTTTTGTTGAGAATTACTTTTTTTTTTTTTGAAATTTTGGTTCGAGTTAATAGGGATACCACCTTACTACAACTGGTGATGAGGAAAACAACTTTATTATGATTCAGTTGTAGGGGTAGAAGCTATATTAACAGGCAAAAAGAAATACCAGGTACAGAGATAATGGGTAGAAAAAGTATTGAGAATGATAGATTGAAGATAATTCTGGGTTTAGAATGTAGGGAACAGTGAGGATAATTGGGAAAGGTGTCTTAGTAGAAGTGATAAAAGAGGAGAGAATTTTGAATTCATAGAGAAGATTTAAAAGTATAAATCAACAGAAGAGTCCACAGTAGTGCTGTCTAGCAAGCTATCTATGTAATTAAAACATTAGCTATCTTAAAAAAGGTAGAAATAAACAGGTGAAATTAGTTTTATTTTATTTAATCCAATACTATTTCAGCATTATTTAATATAAAAAATTAATGAGATATTTTATACCCTCCTTCCTTATTATCTTCAAAATCCAGTGTGTATTTTATACTACCAGCACATCTTGGTTCAGATTAGCCATGTTTCAAATGGTCAGTAGCCTCATGTAGGCAGTGGTAGCTTGTATTTGTCAGCATTACAGGTCTAGAGAGTCAGAGTCATGTGAAAGTGGTGGGGAAAGGAGCTTTGAATTGGAGTGATAGCAAAGCCCTGGACGTATTAGGAATAATGGAGAAAAGACAGCAGTTAACTCTAAATGACAAGAGAAAAAGAGAATTCTACCTTGAGTGGGTTGGGCAGTGATGATCCTGTTCATGTCAAGGAACATGTGAGCTCTGCCTGAGAGTAATCAAAGCTAACTTGAAGACGTGCAAATACACATTTCAGCAATGATGATGGTGAAAATGATCCTGTGTGCTGGGGGGGGGATGATGGAAAGAGCTGTCCATTTGGAGAAATGCAGAAGAAAACTTTAAATTGGGGGTGCTTAGAGCAATGATTCAGGGAGAAAGGAGTTGGATTGCTTGAAAACAAAGACTTAAGAAGTGAGGGATGGTAGATCGTCCATATGTAATTGTTGGATGTATGATAAAAGTATAGTGGGAGATTGACATGAAAGAAAATGCCAGTATTGGGCAGCCCCGGTGGCGCAGTGGTTTAGCACCACCTGCAGCCGGGGGTGTGATCCTGGAGACCCGGGATCGAGTCCCACGTCGGGCTTCCTGCAGGGAGCCTGCTTCTCCCTCTGCCTGTGTCTCTGCTTCTCTCTCTCTCTCTCTCTCTCTGAATAAATAAATAAATAAATCTTTAAAAAAATAGAAAATGCCAGTAGGGAGCACGGTGAAGAAAACATTTGAAAAGAAAACATTGAGATGATATAGGAAAGAGAATATGATGGAATGGACCCAGGAGATGGCAGTGTAGAGAACATTATTTTAAAAAACTAAACAATTTGTTAATTTTTTTAAACGATTTTACTTTAGAGAGAGAGAGCAGGAGGAGGGGCAGAGGGAGAGGGAGAGAACCTCAAGCAGACACCCCCTGAGCCCAGAGCCCGACACAGGGCTGAATCCCAGGACCCTGAGATCATGATCTGAGCCAAAACCAAGAGTCAGACACTTAACCAACTGAGCCACCCAGGCGCCCCAAAATTTGCTAATTTCTGAATAGAGATTGGCAATAATGATGGAAATCATGTAAGGAGATGAGGGAAACTTCCTAGGGGCATGATATTTGGGGGTTGGTTGTTGTAAGCTAAGCATCTGATCATAGCTGGAGAACATTTTAGATGACCATCAATTTTAAATAGGTATCCATTATGACTGTCAAGACATATTTATTCATGAGGGAAAAACAGGAAATAATGTGACACAAAATTAGAGACTTCTGTTGTTAGAAACAGGAGGAAAGTGATGGAGACTCATGTTTTCCTAGAAATGTTGAGGAAGAGCTCACAGTGAGAGTGTTTGCTCTATTGACATTTATAGAAAGCCACATGTTGCATTAACTTAATGTGATTGAAGGAACATTTATTTAGGAGTTGTGACACATGCTCAGGTGTCAACTTTGTCACTGAGCTGTGCAACTTTGGCAGATTGCTTCCTTCAATTCAGGGAACGTTTATTGTGTGTCTATTATGTGCTTAGTATATTCAAGACACTACAGGAGATTCAAAGTCTTACAACTTCACTAGGATTCAGTTTCCTCATCTGCAATGTAAAATTTT